AGGGAATCAACAAAGAGCAAACATTGAACGTGGTAGAAGGGGAATGCTATTGAGAGTAAGATAGTGCGAGGTCGATCCTTACCTGTAGGGCAATGTTGGAGCATTGTGGGATACATGATGGGGACACGTTAGTAAATGGGCATTCATTTCTGTTGTTGGTTGGACCATGAATGTCATGCTTGTTGAATGTTACTTTCAGTTAAGGCCATTGCACATGCAGCCACGGCAGCACCATGTCGTAATTGGCATCAACTATATTATCAGAATCATTATGCAGCATTATATCTGCTATCATTGCAATGGCAGAAGCAGCGTCGCCAGTTGGATAGCTTTGCTTGCGGCGACTTTGCACTTGAGGTCTATTCCAATGCAAGCGCCAAAGCCATCGGCCCGCACTGCTCGACCCAGGCCGGCAGCCAAATCAGCTTCCCCCATCTCCAACTCCTGGTTGATACATGTCCAAACGCCGGGTTTTGCATGCTAATTGCCGCATTGCTAAGAAGGTTTGAAGAACGTGATTATTCAGCGATTATTCGATTTGAAGAACGTTTCTTGGACCCCTTGAAGAGCAACGTGTTGACATGTCCGGTTTTGCGCCGGAGGCCTTTTGGGCCAAAGGCACGAGCAAAGCAGGTGCTGCGTTGAGACGCCCTTTCAAGGGTTGTCCCCTAAACTTGCTTGCTTTTTGTGGGTTCACAATGTTTATCCTTTGCCTCAGGTGAAGTGGCCTTTGTTTTCATCCATTCTAGAAACCGTTTTGGATGCGCCTTTTGTGGATTTCACCTGTTCTTCCCCCTGTTGATCCTTTTTTAGTACTCTTGCAGTACTCTTTTAACCTTCTACAGGGGTGGAACCACAACAGCCACATCCAAACCGTTTTCTAGATCCATGGTCTCACCATGTGACAGGACATTGGTGCGCGCCACGGGTTGCGCCAGGACATCGTGAAGGCGCTGGCGGATCAGATGGTCAGCCCAGTGCTTTGGGAGCAGTCCATGCAAAATGCCATCCGCGATGGGTGCACAGAGCCGCAGCCTCGGGGACTCCGGGAGGGGCCCTCGGAGGGGCCATCTCTTTCAACCTCCCATGCCGGTTTCAAGCTTTGACTTTTCTCAAAAACTTGGAACATCTTGGAACCCCGGTGTGAATGTTAAGCAATGACTGAAACGAGGATTCTCAGCAAAATCCTGCGACAAGTCATGTCTATTTCACGATCCATATTTTACAAATGACGTGCATATTACTGGGAAATCCACTTACATAATTGCTGAGGGTCGACCAAGAATGGGGCTTGGTAAGTAACGTTGTTCTGTTTTCTGTCTTTGTCGGGTGCAAAAAGCAGGCTGCATGGTTTCGCTTCTGTTTTCTTCGGGATAGACCTTTCACGGTTCCATCACAGTTGCTGGGGAAAATCGTCAACTTGTGATCCATGTTGTTCTCAACCTTTGACTTGAACAGTGGTATTTCTTTCCGCCGCAAAGCTTTGCTTTGCATATACACTGGCCACAAGCATCAAGGTGGATATTGGATGGTATTGGGATCCTGGTTTCCACATCCACATATGGGACATATCGGCTCAAAGTGACGTTGGATCGAGATCATTGTTTGCTTCTTCTTTCTTGCGAGTTCCCGGGTTCCTGCTTGAAATCCGAGGTTTTACGAGCTGGGCCCCGGGTCGCAGCTCAAGGGCATCATGAAGCGTATCGATGGCCCGGTCCTCAGGTCCTCGGGGGCTGCTTCGGGGAAGAATGCTCCAAAGGGGACGGCGGTCCAAATAAGCCCAGATGGTCGAATTGGGCCCAAAACAGGTTGGAGGGGGCCACAAAAGTCAACGGGGTTAACCTGAATGAAAAATGAAACTGGGTCAACATAAGTGAGCCAACATGAGTTGAAAGAGCTCAACATGTGTCAAGTGAGAGTTAAATACGGGTCCAGGGATTTGGAGCAGACTGCCAAGCGATCCACCCGAAGGGAAAGCCTGTTTGCTCATTGATTCTGCTATTTCGATGGAACAAGCAGGGATGACTGACCTGATTCTCATTCAGTTTGCTCGTCGACCCTGACAGCTGCTAGCGTCAGTTTGAGCCGCAAAACCTGCATGTCCAATTATGAGGGATGGATATGGGCCTAGGGCTTACCTTATCGGGCACATACCCTCCCTCCGATCATGGAAGGTGGCAGGAGCGTTTTGGAAGACTACTGTTCCTTGGGGGGAAACTCTGTCCACTTCCGTGATTGTTGGAAAGAGGGGCAGTGACAAAGATTTCCTTGTTATTCTGTTTGTTTGATGCTTCGCCCTAAAGTTCCATCCATTTCTCCCATGCTGGGGAATGCATCAGCGTTTATGTTCTCGCTTGAGCACATGATGCGTGCACTGAGTGCATGTGCAGGATTCCGAGAGTGATGCCAGCCGTTCTGTTCAAGCATCGTCCAGCCACGGATCTGTTAATGATGCCAGATAGCCAAGTGGCCGTGATACTTTCCAGAAGCTCTACCCGGAAAAAAGTCACTGTTGGCAGAACAAAAAAGCAATTGGGGATCCGTGATAGTTCCTTATGTGTTTGTACTTTGCCATTGCTTGTTTCTCTCGCATGTCTTGCCGGCTTTCTGGCCTGACACCGCTTGCCGAGGCAAGATTGCGGACAAGATGTGCAGCATCTCCGTTTGAGCGATGGCGTGCGTGGATTATTCGGATGTCTCAGACCGTCTTCCAACCGGAGCAGCATAGGAGCGAAGTCGAGCAAAGCTCTTGCTGACGAAAAGCTTTTCGGGGATTCAGTGATCTATATAATGGCCTTTTGATGAACCCCTATGGGCATCATCACACGTAGCACAGTTCAAGCATTTGTGTATACCCACCTGATAATTATCATGAAACTATAGAGTTTGGGAAAAGCAAGAAGCTCTGGCTCCTTGCTGCTTTGATGTGAGCAGCTGTCTGCGCAAAGAAGTGCCGGTCCGAGCCACCAATCACAAGATTTCAGCTAGCAACCCCTTCGCTAGGAATTTAGACACCCGTTGCAGGGTTTCTTGTCGATGGATCCTTGACAGACACGAGGAGTTTTGAGCAATAGCACAAGTCTTCAGAAGCTGTGATGAAGTGACAACTCAGGGTTGCCTTGGGCAAATATGACAAATGCTGATTTCCCACATGCCTTTCGAGTGGCAGACAAGTGGCTTTCTTTCGATGTGGGGGTGTGTTTCGGGAGTTGGCACACGTTTTGGGTTCAAGGAAAACACAATCGCTTATTTTGGACATCTCTATTTGGAGCCCACCCGTTTGGCTTTTGATGCCATTCAATGAGGCAGATCCCAGTTGCCCCGAACTAGCTTGGCGGATCGGCGACTCTCGCAGATGGATCCGCTTCCGAAACAGTGGAAAAATGGCACGAGTTGATTCCCGCCTGCAAGCTAGGCTGCTCTTCGATGTGACCGTTTGGACAATGCGTTCATTTTCTCCACTATCAGAAACTGCACTTCTTTTTTGTAAACAATTTAATTGAGGGACACTGCCAACCTAAATCCTCAACTAGATAGTTTCGACAGCCTAGGCCAAAGCAAAGTCAACCCTTCAACTTTATGTCGGTTGCCACATCTCACCACGTGATATAAGAGGCTATTTGATTAGCACTCTCCTATAGTCACGACATGTCCGTTGTTTTTTTGGTATATAATCCCAGAAGAGCATGGAGGATAACCCGAAGTTTTTGTCGATTTTGACGACGCCTGGTGGGTCCCAAGAAGAATCCTTTCACATGATTCATGTTCCATTCCAAATAGCTCATGTCTAGTTTACCTTCACGTTTGTCTCAGTGTGTATCCCTGGTTTCTTCCGGGGGTTTGGCAAATCGAGATGAACGGAAGTCACACAGGGAGGCATCAACTCGAATCCTCAACTACTCGTGGGAGACCTACCTACTCGAAGTGAATTGACCAGATCTGACCTTTTGGTGTCAAATTTTCCATGCGTCAGGACCCCCGCTTGTTGGTCGCTGGTAGCGAAATAGCGATGACCCTGGTCTCACACGGTTCTTATGTCTCATGCTGGCTTAAACATGACCTTTAAGTCAAATGAGTTTCCATCTAATGATGAGCTCATGTCTGAACAGGTAAATACAGCAAACCCTGTTTAAGAGGTGATTGAAAATTTGCTAGCAGGAACATGAGCCCTTATTTGGGACATGTTTGTTGGACTTGTCAAAGACCAAACTGTGCAACTTGGTAAGCTTATTTGGCTGTTCCTCCAAATAGGGGTGCCCCAAAATGGTTTGTTTGAATTCGGTTCTTGTACTGCAACAACCCCAAACAACGGCATCCTCAAAAGCAGACACACGCGCTTGATTTCTTTGTTTGGCGTAAACTCTTCGGATTTGGACCAGTGGGAACAACCAACATCCAAAAGCAAAGAAGCGGAGGGGCGTGCCATGAGGCTTATTTGTCACGAACCGACCTGGACTGACCATTTGGTGTCCGCATGGCAGCAACTTCAAGTTGTCTAGCCTTTCGCGTGTTGTTTGCGGGTGCTTATTATGCGGAATCAAAAGGAGTGACGACCATTTACGAGGAAAGCCGATCATGTTCAGGGTTCCCCGTTTCAAGACACCCCAACTTTGTGGTACCAGAGCGAAACCGTTTGCTTGTGAGACTGCATCAGGTAAACCGAGAGATTAACAAATCCAAGCCATGAGTTGTAGCGACATCTCCTTCCCCGTATACGCCTCTTTTGTCTGAGCCATAAAGCACACCCGTTCCGGAACATATAAAGAACAACCATGTTTTTTGCGTTTTTGGTGTTGGACATTTCCAACCACCGGGTTTTTCTCACAATCCTTCCCAGTTGGGAATTTAGAAGCCCGGAAGGATGCCCAACAAAGCCATGGGCACCGAGCACTGAGGGGCCAATGTAGTGCTCCAACTGTGTGCGAATCCAACCTCTCAATATATTTTGTTTAGAGAGTCCCTTCAGTTTCCTACCAGGGTCTTTTGCGAAGAGACGCCAGGTGGCGGGCTATGTGCTCTACCTTGCAGATGGCTTGCGAAGATCACAGGCGTGAGAGACCCGAAGCATGTAGAGACGGGCCAAGGTAGCTGTCGTTCACCTTTTGCAGGGTGTGTCGTCGGCTGACTAAAATGTGGAGGTGTTGATCCGGCAAAACTAGTGTTTGGCTAAAAAAAAAGTACTCAGAAATCAAAGATGGGTATGTGGGATTAGCCTTCATGTCCATTAGAATGACGACAGATCTGCTTTCGTTACTTCTCAACTTGGGACAAAGCACTTGCTAGCGAGTCAACCTTGACCCAAGCTTTTGGGGGGATACTCCGTGCATGTTCATCATTCAAGGCTGTTTGGGTCGCAAAACGCTGCCAGTCCGGGCCAGAGGGGGCCTGCGTTGCGCCGACAGGGGTCATCGCCCCTTTGCCCTGGGCAAACCAAGGTGCGCGTATTGCTCACCTTTTTAGAGTTTGTCCAGCCAACACCACGTGTTGGTCAGACTCCTCGAGGGCACTGGACGCGACTCCGGCCTCGACAGGTCGCTTCCCCGGAACTGGTGGGGGCCAACGAGTCCTTCGTGGAGGAGGACACGAATCTCAGCTCCTTGACGCAGCTGGAGGCTGGCTTCAATTTTGTCAAGCGTCAGGCGCTGAAGATGGGCTTCATGTTGGGGTCCCCTTGCAGTCTGCACCTATCTAAATTGGGGATTCCTATTTTTTGGAAACAAGCCAATTGTCCATGACCTTGACCACCACTGTTTTCTTCGATGTTTATTTGGCTATGAATTGTCATGGTTGGAGCATTCGCAAACTGTTCGACGGAAGTTACACCCCATATAAAGGATATCCACCAAGGAATCCTCATTTGATTTAAATTAAATGTCTTACCGTCCCATTTATTTGGTTTTCACTTTCCTCTGCTTTTTCTAGGACCACTTGAGTTTCAACAGTGGGATGCTCACGGAGCAACTCACCGTGGAAAATTCATGGTAGGGTGCCTCTTCGGATGAAACTGTGAACTTTGGATTGATCGCGGAGGACCGTACCACTCAGGGGTGGCGTCCCTTTTCATGGTGACCAAACTGGTTTTGGCCGGGGTGTGGACCTCGCAAGAGAACCGGAGTTGTAACCACCACTGTACGCTTTGCGAGTCCTGGATTCAGTAGCACCTTCAAGGGTGTGGGTTTGAATGTGCAAAAGACTCGTTGACTGAGAATTGGGCGGCCGCGCGTGTTCTTTTTTTGTTTGTTTGTGTGTGTTTTCCTTGGAGGCCTGTTGTGTGCATTGGAAAGCAGCGTACACATCATGTTTTCAAGTTGCTCAAGCTTCCATAGGAGGCTGCAAAGCACCAAGGTGCTTGCTAGTCAACATGCCAACAAATGACTACTGGATTTCCTCCCCCCCTCCTTACCCCCTCTCACTCCCTCTCTCCCTTCGATCCCAGAAGGTTCATTCAGAAGCATTCCTAGGGGGTGCTATGGGACACTTAGAGTGCATGTTGCCACCAGCCCTAAGCACCCACCACCCTGAAAGAACACTCAGCAAGAGGGAGTTTGGATGCTTGATGTTCTTACTTAGAATTAAAAACCCATAGCCGCACACCAAACACGGTGTCCATCACAACCAGCGGGCAATAGGGTTCCCTATATTTCGTCTTTGAACATCCCCTGCCAAAAGGAAATCCACCTTAAAATGACAACCAAATGTTTGAGCTACCCAGCAGGCAAATTCCCAGCCAGGTGTACTCCAGGTCTGTGCTGGCGGAGCAGACCACCCCGGGCACCTTGTTGATCAGCGATGCCGCGGCCACCGTAACAGGCGCCTTCGCCTGAGGGGGAGGTTTGCCAGTGGTCCTTTGGTAAAGGGATACAAAATAGTTATATATATATACACATGAATGTCATGCATGTACAGCAACATGTCCAGGTTCAAACCTGGGGATGTCTCATTTGACTCTTTTCAAGTGGGGAGCCCTCAAAAAAGGACAACAGGCGTGATCGAGAACAATAGATCGAGAACAATAGATTGCAGTTTCCTAGGGAATCTTGACGAACCTCGCCGACATACATACATACTTACATACATACATACATACTTACATACATACTTACATACATACATACTTACATACATACTTACATACTTACATACATACTTACATACATACATACATACATACTTACATGCATACATACATACTTACATACATACATACATACTTACATACATGCATCCATACTTACATACATACATACATACTTACATACATACATACTTACATACGTACATACATACATACTTACATACATACATACTTACTTACATACATACAAACATATATACATACATACATACTTACTTACATACATACATACTTACATACATACATACATACTTACATACATACTTACATACATACATACATACTTACATACATACATACTTACATACATACATACATACTTACATACATACTGACATACATACATACTTACATACATACTTACATACATACTTACTTACATACATACTTACATACATACATACTTACATACATACTTACATACATTCATACTTACATACATACTTACATACATACATACTTACATACATACTTACACACATACTTACACACATACATACATACTTACATACATACTTACATACATACATACTTACATACATACATACTTACATACATACATACTTACATACATACATACTTACATACATACATACATACATACATACATATATACATACATGCTTACATACATACATACATACATACTTACATACATACATACATACTTACATACATACTTACATACAACCATACTTACATACATACATACATACTTACATACTTACATACATACATACTTACATACATACATACTTACATACATACATCCATACATACATCCATACATCCATACAGGCATACATGCATACATACATGCATACATACATGCATACATACATACAGTAGGTACGCGCCTTGGCCCCCCCCCCCCGGGGCTTGCTTGCACTCAGACGGGGCTAAAGCTTATATCGTGGACTTGCCAGGTGTGAAACGCGACTACGTTTCTCACAGCATACGCGATGATGGACCTCACTTCACCGCCCCAGGGGCTGTGGAAGGGTCTCGTGCAGACGCCCAATACCTTGATGGTTGGTGGGGGCACGCCAAGCGTGCTTGCCGTGAAGAAAATAACAGCGACTGCCATGGGCGGCCAAGTGAGGGAGGACCAGTGGCGGCACTGGGTCGCAAAGGCCGACAAGCGGCTGGCTGCGGGTGGGGTCATCCAAGACAGTTTGTTAGGCGATGTCTAAAATTATGCTTTCTTACTTCCTGATTGCATGGTTGCTTGTGTTGACACGTGACTTTCGATGAATACGGGTTCTCTTACAAGCGTTCGATTCTTATCGAGGCAATTTATGGGACAACGCCTGCCACAGGCAAAAACCGGCTTTTGTGTTTGACACTTTCCCTTTGTTGTGCACGGAACCCTGCGAATCTATTGGCAGGGCCAGTGAATCTTGCAGGCAGAACAATAGGGAACGGGTCCCGGGGGCGGGGGGGTATTCCCATACAGTACACACATACATACCGTACATACAGACATACATACATACATACATACATACATACATACACGCACATACATACATACATACATACATACATGCATACATACATACATATACATATACATATACATATACATATACATATACATATACATATACATATACATATACACATACACATACACATACACATACACATACACATACACATACACATACACATACACATACACATATGCATATGCATATGCATATACATATACATATACATACACATATACATATAGATACATGCGTACGCACAGGCATACATGCATGCCTGCCTGCCTACCTACATACACGCATGCTATGTATGCGCAAACATACGTACATACGTACATACGTACACACGTACATACGTACATACGTATTTGCATACACACGTACATGCATACATACATACATACATACATACGTACATACATACATACATACGTACATACATACGTACATACATACACAAAAGTACATACACACAAATACATACACAGATAAATACATACGAGCATGGCAGCGCGCACACACACACACATGCATACATGTTTGCATACATGCACACATGTGACATGGCACAGGCGAAGGAAGATACACACACACACACATTCACACATGGTTCGATGCATAAATGCATACGCACATACAGGTATATACATGCGTTACACATACGCAGTTCGACATCACAGAACATGACGCGCAATCACAATCATAGCATGACTTTACGTAACATAGCGTACCACATAGCATAGCATACCGTACATACCAATCCGTACCAGCGCGCTGCAGAACAATACGCAGGAAATCGCATAACATACCAAAACAAAACAACGCAAGCAATGCATATATCACAACACATCACGTCATCACAGAACATGACACGACACAGCTAACACAACATGCGCGTGTGCAGCTAGACATGAACCGGCATATGTATCATGTATATAGTAGTATACATCCTATGCTATGGTCAACCTGCGTGCGCACACGTGTGTGTCATTTGGCTTTGTTCACACATATATTTGTATCCTCCCCCCTCCGCCCATGTGGCTCTCCTTGTCTGTCGCAGGCCTAAACTTCACGGACCGGGACCTGGACGCGTCGGAGCTGGGCGGGGAGGTCGTTTGGCAGATCCCAGAGGAGCCGCAGCTGGCGCGGTACATGGTCTACCTGCCGCTCGGAGATGCCAAAACCATTCTTTGACGTAAAGGAAGGGTGTTTTCCAACATCCAACCAGCTACCGCAGAGGCTTTCTTTTTGTTGAAGGATTATTTGTGAACTCCTGACTGGAGGCAATCAATTGCCGTGGAATAATCGTTGATTGAAGATATCCCTTCAAAAAGGGGGTATCTGGAGTCCGGTGACCGCTTACGTGTTGCGTTGGCAATCTTCAAGCTTGCCGTTGGGAGGTCCTTTCATCATGGGAGTAAAGAAAGCCAACAAGTCTACGCACGTTTTGCGGCCGAACCGCAAACTCAGCAGGTCGGACCATTCTAACCCTACTTTGCGGTGGACGGTATCACCATTCAAAGGATCGGTTTGGAGTATGGACCAGTTGGTGAACCCCAGACACAGCAGAGACTGGCACGATGAGGGTGTTGGCTGCCGAACAAGGCCTCATTCTGATTTCTGATTGGTGCTGATGGCTGGTGGGTAGTTGTAGTAAACCGTGAAGCAGCGTTTCTTTTGAGGCCTTAAGGTTCATATCCCCCGTTGTTTCATGGTGTTGGTTTCGGGTGAGCAAACAAGCAAACACGACCCCCTTGGCCCAATGCACCCAAGGACCCCTTTGATGAGAACCCGCCGAACTAGGTCATTGCCTGTGGAACCAGTTTGGATCGATAAGAAGTCTGCGGGGTCCTTCCTTTTTCAAAGTTGCTCGATTCGAGCCGTGAAAGGATGAAATGAAACAAGCACGCACAATTTGTAAACGGTATCCTTTGATCGCTTTTCTCAGCTAATTGTTTAGCATTGTGCCGATTGGGGCATTGGAACAGCCGGTTTTCCCTGGAAGTAGGGGTCAACGTGAGCCGATGCCAAAAGAATGCAGCGGGCTTGCAGATCCCCATGACGCTTTCCCCCTAGAGCTCATTCTCGGGGCGACCGATTGATTTGACCCGAGATTCGAGATGAAAGATCTGTTCGCGGCGCATTCCTGATTTCCGATATCCGGTTGGCGGGATGATTGTAGTTTGCCCCATGCTTGTCAAGGCCAAAATAGGGCTCCCCAACCCAACGGGCACCGTTGTAGCGTTTGCAAACAGGCATTCAAGGGTCGGTTTCTCGAGGGGCATTTCACCTTTTCGGGGCTCCTGAATAACCTTTTGATTGCTTCGCAGAGCCACAATGTTTGGTTTTTGGATGAGCGCCCAGGGTGACTGCTGGCAACAGGCCGGGCACTGTCCGTGCCGGTCGATTCGATATCGGACTGGTGTGCCTCCTGTAGGCTCCAATCCCAACCTGAGGTTGCGCTGCTATCGAGCAACCAGTTGGTTTCCCAAATACTGACGAGTTGGCCTCCAGGTTCAGCCGGGAATCATGTTTCAGTTCAAGGTTTTCAGCAGTGCACAAGCAGCCAACCACTGAATAAGACACTGCTCAGCTGGCTTGCTTAAAGTTTAGAGTTCGCCCAGAGTTGTATGGGGCAATGGCCTCATTGAGTTGCACTATTGAGTCGCTCCTTCGGGACTTGGGGGCGTTCAACCGAAAGTGAGCTGTTGCCGCTGGACAGGAGTTCTTCTTGACATTTAAAATGATCACTTTGGCAATATGCTTTCTTCAAACATCTCCTAGCTGTTATGTCCATGCAGGCTATTTTCAGTTGCAGTTGTCTCCCCAGCATTCTAGGGGTTGATTCCCCATTCTTTCCAACCATCGTTCTTTTCAAAAACCAGTAGTTTCTCGGGGTTTTTGATGGTTTCCTGAAAAGAAGGATCCCTGGAAAGAATGGGGAAGCTAGCTGTAGAAGCATAGCTTTTTATTCCCGAGTTATGCCCCCCTTCCGCTTCCCGGGACCCTTAAGCCTACGCGATCCGCATTTGGGCCCTTGAAAGCCGGTTGCCCGTTGGGTCCATTTTTACATTGCTCGTGTGGAGAATCTATTGGGATCTTGTAAGGTCCTTTCGACCCCCGCACAGACTGAATCACTGAAACTGGCCCTTGGAGTTTCACATTGATTCGGACGGGTGAGTGTCTTGTTTCTCCAGCCTGCTGCAAACGATCAAAGCCCACACACAAATTAATCCAACCAATCCAAGCACGCAAGCAAGCACACAAACCAGCACACAAACAGTACAACACACATCCACACAAACAAACAAGCAAACAAACAAGCAAACAAACAAGCAAACAAACAAACAAACTAGCCAGCCAACCAACCGACTAACCAAGCAACAAAAACATGAGCAACCAAAACACAAACAATCAAACAAACGAACGAACAAAAAAACAATCAAACACACACTTGCGCATGCATTCATACATGCATACAAGCTTACAAACAAACAGACAGACAACCAAACAATGACTCACGCAGACAAACAAACAAACAAACAAACAATCAATCAATCAATCAATCAATCAATCAATCAATCAATCAATCAATCAATCAATCAATCAATCAATCAATCAATCAATCAATCAATCAATCATTTCATCCATCCATCCATCCATCCATCCATCAATCAATCAATCAATCAATCAATCAATCAATCAATCAATCACTTAACCAACCAACCAATCAATCAATCAATGAACCAACCAACCAACCAACCAACCAACCAACCAACCAACAAACCAACCAATCAACCAATCAATCAATCAATCAATCAATCAATCAATCAATCAATGAACCAAAGAAACAACACAACAAGCAAACAAACAAACAACACAACAAGCAAGCAAACAAACAAACAAACAAACAACCAAACAAACAAGCAAGCAAGCAAGCAAACAAGCAAAAACACAAACAAACAAACAAACAAACAAATAACAAACAAGCAAACCACACACAACCACACAAACGCACATGCACACACGCACGCACGCAAGCACACGCACAAGCGAACAGCCAATCAGCCAAACAAACACAAGCACAGACACACAGGTAATTCAGCAAACCAGCAAGAGGCAAGCAAGCAAGCACGCAAGAAACCAGGCACACAAGCAAGCGTGCACACAAGCAAACAAACAAGCAAACAAGACAAGCAAGCAAGCAAGCAAGCAAGCAAGCAAGCAAGCAAGCAAGCAAGCAAGCAAGCAAGCAAGCAAGCAAGCAAGCAAGGAAAGAACCAACCAACCAAAGAAAAAAAAAAACAAGCACACACATCAAGCAAGCAAGCACGCAAAGCACCACCAAAAGAAAACACATCACACACAAAAATCAACAAAACAAGCAACAAGCAACCGTCATCCAGCAAAAACGGAACCAAGCAACCAAACAAATGCAACAACCGCATGTTTTCCCTGTCCTTTCCAGGATTCCGCTGAGCGCTGCCCTGGCAGCAGAGACCTCTTCGCTGCTGGTTGGCCCGGACTTGGCAGCAGGCAGGGGGGACCCTCCAGAAATGTTGCCAGAAATGTTGCGGAGGGGTAAACATCCAAGGGGATTGAGAGCCATCCCAAGAAAGAGGCAACTACAACCCGCCGGGTCGTTTCCGTCGGACATGTTGGTCTGGAAATTGCGTTTCGCCTTGAATGCTGAGTAATGGTTTTGCACGGGAGTTCTCAATGCTTTGGCCCATCTTCAGTGATCAAAAACACATTTTTCTGGAGACCCAACATGTCTCATTTTTTGGGTTTGGCGCCCCTGGTTTATGAATATTCTGAAAGCATTGCATTCGGATACTCTCACCTTTTTCAGCTCTCGGATCACCGCCCCTAAATCTCGCCATTGAAAACGGCGGAGGGTGCTTGCAAGGGGTTCTTACCATGTGCATCACGTGGGTGTGGGTGCTTACCATGGGTTGGCTGGGATCACTTGGGCGGGGCTTCTTACCATGTGTTAGGTGGGATCACTTGGGCGGGTTGGGTGGGATCACTTGGGCGGGGGGGCTTCCATGTGTTGGGCGGGATCACTTTCTTGAGATCACCTTTTTGCGAAGCGTGCAAAACGGTGGGTTTGCACTGACGGGTTCCGACCGGACAGCAACTACAAGTATCCAGAATCTGAGTTGTTAAGTTCTGTTGTACCCTTCGTTCCCTGTTTGCTTGGTGGATTCGGGGCACGCATGCAACGGTCAAGGAGCATGACCCCACGCGACTCATTTTGACCCCATGGAAAATCCTGACCATGTGAAACCACTTCCTCTTTTGGGCCCACAACACAATCCAGGGTCGTAAGGCGGGGTTGCCCTGTAGAAAGAACATGATGCAAAAGGGTAGACAATTGTTGAGTGGTTTTCTTGGTTTGCCTTTGCCGCATTTCTACCCTGGTGCCAGGGTCCTTAGAGCACCGCTGAAGGGACGACCATTTTTGGGTTCGGGGCGAACTAATGGTAAACCACCCAGGACCCCAACAGCTTGCCAGAGAAACTGTGGGATGGTGTGTTAGCAAAGGTGTAAGTCCTGTTGTTCAAGTACTTTGAGTGGGAGGTGCGTAGAGAAAAGTCAGTTGTCGCATATATTCCATGGACCCTCCTTCCCAAGGGATCCCCCCCATGGAATCCTCCAGAGAGAAGCCTTGCTAAGGCCTAGTGTGTCCCCTCCGCCCCTATTTTTGGACCTTTGAGCAAAATTGCCCGCAACGAAAGTGCAAACACACGCAAACAGACGCCGATCGACAGTGTTGTAGCGATTTGCCCTCTTCAGACAAGACTGAAAGGCCTTGTTCGCGGCGCCCCTGCCCTTGAATTGTCTTTTGGACGTAGACCTCATTCTGGCGATTTGTACCGATCTCACCGATCCTGGGAAAAACATCACGCATGAAGGTCGTTTACTTGTGGATTTCTTGGCGCTTGGGGAATTCATTAGAGTATCTGCAGATCTCATGTCAATCACCTTTAGTTTGGGATTTTGCTTTCCAGTTGCCATGTGAGTCATTTCGAGTTAGGTGTTGAGCTGGCGGTCTACACGAAGAGTTCCCTTTTTGAGCAGACGACCCCGGCCACAGTGGAGGTTGTGGACTTGGAAGCCACTGCAACTTGGCGAAGCTCATCCGAGGAGCAAACTCCCAGACTTCTAGTGTGTTGCTTCCTGCTTTCCTCGTTTCTTGGAAGGGGGGTCCCTTGAATATCCGTTCAAAGGGGGACGGACAGTCCACTGGAGGTGTGAGAAAGAATATTACAGGGTTTCCCCTACTCCCATTGACAGATGGCGCCAGTGGGGACGTAGCAGAGCAATTCCCTGAAGAGATGGCTGTCAGGCGCCACCTCTTTTCATTTTTTTGTGGAAGGCAGCGCCTACCCAAAATGCACGCAAATACTGAGAAATACTCCGCCTTGCTTCTAAGGGCCGCTCAAAGCAGCAGCAGTGGGATGATGTTTGTATGAGAGTGGGGTGTGACCTGTGCAGTGGGCCTGCCCGTCGAATTATGACCCCCCGCCCGTTTTTTTATCGAAGCCAAAATCAAAGGGGCCCAGCTCTAATCGCTCTGACATTACCTCGACATATTTTTTTCAATATATGCCTTATAGCGAGCTACCCGCAATATCAGGTGTCCAAGTCTGGCCCGAAAGATGAGGCCCCAGGACCGCACAGAACCCCCACCCCCACCCAAAACAGGAGCAGAATAACACAAAAAGCTCTTGAGAGCTTGACCAGGGCAGCCAATGTATCTTGACGTGTTGCCTTTGTGACGCCTGAGGCTTTCTCAGCTGCTCCGCTTTCCCCTTCCTTCCCCCTGTCCTTCTTGCCCCCTTCTTCCCCAGCATGTGTCAAGATCGGGGGACCCAACAAATGGTGGTTTTCCTTGTTGCCTTTCTTTAAGACCAACCCAGAGAGGGTGCCCTTAAAAGTACACACACACACACATTGGCTGCAAGAACGAAGGTGTCGGACGTCGTCTTCGAGGACCTCGACTTGGACGAGTCCCACCTGGGCGGCGTCCTCAACTTTTCCGCGCCAGCGGACACCGCAGAGGCGCGCGGCGCGAGTCCCGCGATGCGGGGCGTGCGCGGGAGCCGTATTGTGCTTTGTGTTGAGGTCCCTTACTCAAAGTGAACGTTTCTGAAAAATAAAGCGAAAACAAAACGTAGTTTGGTTTTGCTTAAAGTCAAGGTGAACATTGTGAGGGTTTCAATCATATTGTGAACAGGTTGTGGGTTTATTAAAATTGCTTTGAAGGGAGTTCCCTACTTGAAACCACAAATTTGGGCTGTTTTGAGGATGTCAGCTCAAAGACCCAGTACCCTTTTTCCTATCATGGAAGCTGACAGGAAGGTGTAGGAAAACTGCTTTCATTGGCGGCCGTCCCTGTCCACTAGTGCTTGTAAGGAAGGCATTGCTGGTTAAAGGTACTGACATGCGTGCACTTCCGGGAGTGCAAATAGATGGCTGCCTCGCCTCAGAACTTCTCTCCTGGGTTCCCCCTTCGTTTGTGCGGCCCTTGAGTTGCAAGTGACTTTAACCTACTCCAAATACCTGTGACTTCTGCGAAGAACTGATATTTACGTGTTTGTAACAACAGCTGGGGTCTGAGGTCTTCGGAAAGGCTGGTTCTCAAACTCAAACTTGAGCAGGTTCCGAGGCAACCAACAGATGATAACCTCCTTCCTTTTCGCGATTTGGGGTAATGCCAAAAATAGCCCGGTTGTTTGGGTGCACTCTCTGACGCCCCGCCTTGTTATTGGGTGTCTCAAGATGGTCAACCCAGAAATGGAAGATGACAAGGTTTTGGAAGACTGTCCTCGCTTTTTAGGCAGACAGCTGTCGACTTCGATTGCACAGAGTGTAGGCGGATGGGATTGTTAATGCAGGGACCCCGTAACAATCAACAAACAACGCCTTTTTGCATTCAGAACTCTTGTGAGAGGCTTTGGAGAAGCCGGTTTGGCCAAAGAAAACAAGGCAATTTTTCCGTCGAAATTGGACCGAACAAAGGGCATGTCCTTTTGAATCAACACCACCCCTCTTTTCCTTTTAGTATTTAACAAATTTCAAGAAAACACCAGGGAGCCTCGGGAGCCAAGAAAGGGAGCGGCTTGTGTCCAGTCCCGGTCAATGGACCTAGGGGATGAGCTGAGTCCTCGACGTCACCCCACAAGCTACCAACCCAAAACCCCTAATACTTATATAAGGATTTAAACCGGGCCAAACTTACGGCCAAACTTGTGGCCAAAGACAAGTTGGGGGATCTTGGGGTTGTCCTGTGTGCCCCCGCTTTCCTTAAATAGGATCCTACTGCGCTATCAAGGGTTTGTGTCCCGTATTCAACCCCCTTATTTGTGGGGCCCTTGAGGGCACGAGTTTGCATGTTTAAACCGAAGCCAAAGGGAAACCACTCATTTTGTGATGCATTTGTGTGCCTCACAGCCTCCGCAGGTCACCGCCTACAGCGTTTTCTTCGCCGACGCCGATTCATCGGCCATCGAAGTTCGCCGGCGCGTGCCCGTGACGCCGGACCTGGCGCCGGAGGAGTTGGGGGCTTTGATCCCAGCGGACATCGAGAAGGCGGGAGCTGGCAATCCTTTGAATATGTGACTCAAACAAAAATAGGGACTTGGCCAAACAGAAATGCTGGCTTTGTGGTGTCCCCTGTGGCTTCTCTTCAACTCAACCTGAAACAAGGGTGCTTTCGTGAAGACACAACCAAATGGCGTGCGCCTTTTCTAACATTGAGGGTACCCTTGTTTGAACTTGAAACCACACAGAAAACAACCCATTTTGAGGGTCCCCGATTTGTAAGTACACCCTAATGAATGTTGACCCCGGATTTTGTCGAGCATCGGGTTCTGAAATGCTGGTGCAAAATGAGTGCGGCTTAGATTTGAGCTCTTTCTAAACAACTGGGAGCTCTAGTTTCGGACCAAAAAAAACGGACGCTGGGGAAGGATGACTTACCAGCCATAGCAGGAATCATTTGCGCCCATCCCCACTCTGACCAAGTCCGCTCTTTGTTGTGTGCCCAATAGTAGCGTGTTTCTTGAGGGAAGACCTTTGGGCTCTTTCAATCCGTGCACAGGAAGCTTTTAATATAATGTTTCTTGTGGCATGTTTTTCCCAAATCGGAGTCTTGTTGGGGGAAGTTCACCTTTGGAAGTCGACACCCCTTGTAGAGTGCCCCCTTGATTCTCCCGGGTTGCCACGCGTTTCTCTCCTGAACCCTGGAAATTGGCAGAAGGATCCCTGTGTTGAACCGTTTTGCTTTCGCTCAGGATCCGGAGGGCGTTGCCAAGAGACGCGACACCATTCCATTTGCGACCGAAAATTCGGGCATCACCTGATCAGTGTAGCCTGGTCAACAGGAAGAAGGCACCATTTGACTTGCATTTGTGGCCATGTGCCCATTTATATATGCACTTACTATACGTAAGTAGAGTTCACTCAAGTTCCATCCAACGGCTAGGGTAACTGATTCCAAGGGTCCAGATTCCCTCTTCATTGATGCCGAATGAGTTTATGTTCAAACAGCAGCGGTTTTAAAGTGGGGTGTGTTGGGTTTTTCTTTGACTCGGGTTTTCAAAGCTGTACTGTTGTTGGCTGCATGGTCATGGTTAGGTGGAAGCCAACCAGCGCAACTGTTTGCAATTGATAGTGCAGGGAGCTTCGGAACAAATCTGCGGCGCCATACAAATTAGAGGGGTCCCCCTCATTCACAATATGCATCACAGATAATGCTTCCCACAAACCTCATCATCAATATTTCCCACAGCCATGAGTTGGGGTATCCTCGTTAAAATCGAAGTTGATATTGCTTACTACATGGTCTTAAGCATCTCGTTGTAATTTGCTGCCCATAAATTGACAGCAAGGGCAACTTCTCGCACGTGCTGGTGTACACCAAATCGGCCCTGGTGGAACAGCGCCTTGGACCACCCCGATCGGGACTCTCCACCATGAGCTTATGGGCCTGTTTCCGCGGGTGAGCTTGAGAGAGCCCGTTCCGGACCGCTCATGGCGGTTAGTTTTTTTGGTTTCCCGCACAAACATGCCACCCCAGACCCGGTCAATTTTTCGAGCTCCAGCTCCGGCTGGCAAATTTTAAGTACAAAAGTCATTCGCGAAGTGCGTTCCCGCAGCTCCGGCTGCAAAATCGTAAGTGGCTACATGCAAAGGTGGCGCGCGAAGCGCGCTCCCACGCCCCAGCAGCTCCAGCTCGGAAATCACAACTTGCAAGTGCGAAAGTATTGTTTCGAAAGTGCGCTCTTGCATCTCCAGCTCGAACAAGTCGCAACTTTAAAATGGAAACGCAGCACGCGCATTACACATCCGTATCTGCAGCACGAAAATCACAACTTGTAGCAAAAGCAATACGCAAAGTACACTTCTGCAGCTAAAACCGCCAGCCTTCTTGCGTAGCCAAGTTGCAGCATCATGTGCTGCATCGCGCGCAACGCCGTGCGATGTCATGCGCAATATTACGCGCAACATCACGCGCAGCTTCACACGCAGCACCAAGCCACAGCACCGCGCGCACGAGAAGTTGACAGGAGAGATTGTGAAGCATGATGCTAAGCTTGCTCATCAGAAATCGCAGAAGCTACGCTTATCACGCGGGAGAGGTGAGCGTCTTTCTTGCTTCCGGGCTACCTGTCGTCAAGTTAAACCCCATACAAATCGTACTGTTTGGGGTCTCTTGCTGGGATAATTAGTTGATGGACTTCCGAAACCCCTGGGACAGAAGCACAGCATATGGGTTCAGACAACACCCCATCCTGTTTCCACCGGGTCTATAGGGTGATCCGGTCATGGATCTTCTATCCTGAGCGATGGAGGCGCACGGTTGGTGTTGGCAGACTGTCATAAATCAAAAAGGCAACTAAGAATTTGGGTTGACATAGGCAGGCCATGATGCCAACTTTTTGAAAAAGGGCCAGAGCCACGGAACATGTTCTCCTTGTTCCACTCCGTTGGAGAGTCCCCTGAGGAAACATCACTGTCAGGTTGTGTTTCTCCATTTCAGGGATGACACAGTGTTTCAGGAGAGAATGAAAAGAAGGATTCATATCCCGCTTCTGCTTGGTAGCGGGTGTGAAGTTCACAGGAATTCCTACGGGAGGTTGCTCCAACAAGCGATGTTTATCCTCTCCTTTGGGTTGGCAATGGCATATATCAGTTTCCTTGTGGCTTGACGTGAAATTGGCAATGCCAATGCCATTTGGGCCCTTGTCAATGGACCCTCAATCCGTGGCTTCTTTGCGCTTGAAATTCTGAATGCATTCCCCCTACTCCAAGTGTCCTGCTTTTGTTTTGAAGTTAGCACTTGTTCAACAAGTAACGGTTGTCACTGCGCTGCGCGACTGCGCTCCCCCTACCACCAGTCAAACCACGAATTAAGGAGAATCTAATTTCACTGGCAAACATCAGAGGTTTGTAGAAAACCAGCATATTTCAATTGCATGCACCCCACGTCCCCCTCCCCCATATACTCCAGATACTTGCTGTTGTATGGTATATGATAACAATATGTTGAACACTGTGGTTCTTCATACCTTCTGTTTTGGTCAGGGGTTGACAAATTATACTCCAAAAGACAAGCTGGGGTATTTGGAGATTTGCGGGGCATGTTCGAGATTCCGAGATTCTAGCTTCCGGTCAAAAAGGGATACACTCTCTTTTCCATTTAAGCTTTTGATATATTATCACCCCAAGAAGCTGTTTTTTATCCCCCCCTCAACCCTTTCAGCTCCGCTTTGATCACTAAGACATAGGTCCTGGGACCCGCCTTCCGAGGTCCACGCCGGCATTTGGTGTGCTCAACGACACAGAGGCATCGGTCGAGAATGTTGCCTTCGAAGACGAGGCGCACGCGTTGCAATGGCTGGAGATAGGGTCATTTCGGATGTATCAAAATAGGAATGACCCCTCGGAAATGGGTGGTCCCTTCAAACCACCCCCAAAAAGAGTTCCCTCAAAAATACATGACCTTTCCAAGAGCCCTTCAACATACGCTGTGAGCATACCCCGACCCCCCCAGGATGAAAGTTCCTGTCAAAAAGGGGCGTTCGGGGCATGCTCAAAAGGTATGTTGGAGTGTTTTGGACCCTTCAATGTCATGAAGGCATGGATTTGTGTCACCAGGGAACCCTGTACACACACACACACTAGCACCTCTCAGCCTCATTCGAACCCTGCTGCCCAGCCAACTGTCCCAACCCAAAGTGGGCCTGCAGGGCAGACAATTGCTCCATCCTTTGTGTTTTCTTGGTGTCTTCCCTGGCAGACTCTAAACCCTTCTTTTCTACCTTTATGGGGGAAACCACATGTGGGTCCAAACTCAAGGTAAACTCAAGGTAAACCATGGATTTTGAGCCACTATCTTTCGTCTCCGATTTTAATATATCATGGCAACCTTCCCGTGTCTTTGCCTGAACTGTGGCTCTCATCCCCCAAAGGTAAATATCTCCTTTAAAGTCAGACAATTTATGTCTAAAAACCGGGATCCAAAAACGCCAGTGGTATTCGTAATATTGGCGCTCATCTCTCAGGACCTTGACGAGGGGGACCTCGGCGGCACCGTTTATTGGACTCCTCGGGGCGACGTGACGGCCATCCAGGCACAGATTCGAGCGGATTGGCTTGGCTCCGGCCCGGGTGGCACAGCACGAGTCAACTGCTCGGGTCTGGCTTTCCACCCCATCTCAAATATCCACTGCAGGGTATGATGTCAACCTCTTAAAAGGCTGTGTTTGCCATGGACACGCAGGCTTTCCAACTATATATACATTGAACAACTGGCTATTTGGAGTAGAGGGTAAAGGATTCCGCGTTCTTATCCAGACTTGCGCAACTAGCGTTTTGACAGAGCTTTCGACTTGAATCAGAACCCGGGAAATGCCCACAGGGTGGACTTTGGCTCGTTGAGTTTGGATCGCAAATCGATCGATGCGATTTGCGAATTGTGTTTGAAAACAGCCGTGGGTCCAAAAAGAAGCAGAAGGCGTGATCCCCAGCCTTCTTTGCAGACTTCTTTTTTGTGGAGCTTTGGACTTTTAAAGCAGCACGAGAAGCAATGTATGGCCACAGGGCTGGGAACTAAATAATCCTCGTAACCTCCAGGTCATAACCCAAAAACGATTCGAGCAAAGCACACCCTGTTCACCCCAGAAAAGGCTGATTCTCGAAAAGAACCCTTCAGCTGTGGTACAAGAATTCATCGACCCAAATTAGAAAGCAAACGACGTTATAGGAGGTCGTCCAAATTTGCCCAGCAGCCCGGTCCACTTTCCTATTGGAGAGGGAACAACTTTGCACTTCCGTTGTTTGCAGGGCACCCCTCCTCAGGCCTTGCCTGTGTTCTACAAAGGCTTCTAAAACGACGCGTTCACGCGAGGCCCGGCCAAGACCCCCTGGGTTCACACGCCTGAAAACAAGTCAAAGAAGGACGACTAAAACCTGAATGTTAGGGGGTCTTTGGAGGGGCATGGCCCCAGCCCTCAGGGTAAGCCCAGACAAATACCCGCCTTCTTTTAGGACAATATTTGGATATCATTTTTTGAGGTGAATGCTCCTATCTTAATCAGGGATTGGCATCCTACCCAAAATAAGTGGCTCATGTGGGTGAGGGTTAAATAGCCACCCAACCATGAACCACCACCTGGTTTCAGGTGTCTTCCGGTGGTCCATAGGGTACCTTACTGTGCAGATCCCATCGGAGACAATTTACGCCAACTGTTGAGGACGGGTTGAGGCCCTCACTGTCTTCAGACTCCTTGCCACAAACTCCCTGCTAGGACTACCTCCTTTACGTGGACGGCAAGCTGATGGGCTCAGCACCTTTTGGGATGAATCAGCCGTGGGGCTCAGCATCGAGCGCGAGAGACTGAGCTTTAAGGGTTCACCTTGTTAGTTGGCTTGATAGGGTGTGACAAGTTTGAACCAGGCGAAAGGAATAAACTTCCAATGAAGTGAAATCAGATGTGAGGTGTATAAAGGTTTAATCAGTCTTGATAAGGTTCGGTCATGAGGTGTAATGAGATGTAAGATGTGATGTTTAAGGTGCAGCGTCCAAGGTTAAGCGCGGTTCCCCTTGTCAATGTGCCTCCTCTGGCCCCACCCCCCCAACTGAACCCTTTTTCCCAAGCCCAATGGGGGCGGAAATGCGCGCCAACAAGGGATTTCTAGGCCCCTTTTGGCCCTTGACAAAAAACAAAAACAAAAAGAGCAAACAGACTCTTTGTTTGAATCATGTTAACGCCTATTAAGCGACCAGTGTCCAACAACTTTTCCTAATACAATATTCATCCCTGAACCAACCCCTCAGTTCTTCATCAGCGCGGTGGTGCTCAGGAAATCAATCAGATTCAAGGGGGTTGTTGTGGCTTGCTATCACGGAAGCTAGCAGGAGGGTTTTGGAAGAGCTTCCATGCAACTTGTGCATCAGTTCTCACCTCCAGTATCATGATGGGTATGTAAGTTACTTGGACTGAGACAAAGGCTTACTTAGACGGGTCATCAATCAACTGGTTGTACAAATTAGGCCACAAATGTTTGAAGAACTGCTTGCGCTCTAAGCTCCAGGCCATCAATCTCAACCACCAAATTGAACGTTGTTTTCTGAGGGGTACCCTTTCGGAATGGTTTAAAGGTGCAACCCTCTTGTCTGTGGAGCTCCTCCATTTGTAGGACAAGCCCAAGTCAGGGGAAGCGGAACTTTTGTGAGAGGTGAAAACACATATCAGATGAACACCCAAACGGGTGTGTCTCAAGATATCATCCACAAAGTTGCTGGATATGGGTTCGTTACAGCAACTTCCCCAACCAGGGCTGCCCTCAAAGCAGACACACCCTTCCAGCAAAGCCGTCGAAGCTGGAGGAGGGGCTGTTGCTCCAAGGCTCTAAGACCTGACGGCTTTGAGGTCTCCGTACGGGCGTTTGATAGCAGTGTAGCTTAGGTTGAACATCAGCGCGGACTTCCGGCCGGTGGTGCAGGAGTGACAAGGAAGGCAGGTACAACCAGGGCCCTTCGACTAGCATCCCCTATCTGGGATCTCTTTTGATTAGAGCTTGAGGTGAAAATTGCCATCTCCAAATGAGTTTTGCTGAAGCTGAGGTCCTGAGGTAGAAATCCATTGCCGCAGGAGCTGGCCATCTACACCCGGTCGCGGATCTATGAGAGTAGCACCCCTCAGGCCCATGGGGCCATGCCAAACACAAGCTGTGGGCCAAGCAAAGAGAGCTTGACCTGACTTGCGGGTTTCGGTTTGCGTCCAACTTCACCCCGGCGCAATGATTTCTCCAAGCTGGTGAATTGTCGTGATCTGGCCGCAAACAGGGTTCCCTCTTTTTGGGACGGCCACATATACATATACATATATATATATATATATAATCAGATGTATATTATGAGCAGCTGCCAAATTTCTCGGATTTGCTGCTGTACAGTTTGGGGAGGGATGGGGTATTGCTGGTCCCGGACACGCCAGTTCTTGTTCGTCTGCTGCGGAAGGCTGGAACGAAATACTTGGACACAAGTGAAAAAGACAGCCACCGAAGCGTCCCGCTCTGTGGCTTAATGCTTCACGCAAGCACAAACATGCACTCAATCTAGAGAATCTAGAGTGAATGACTCGCTTGAAGAAAGGCGTTGGATGTGGCTGTCTTGTGGACATTCGGATCCAATCCTAAATGAACAGCCCAGACTCAGGTGCATGGATCTATGTCTGAGGTCTGTTCCAGGTTTGGTTGCCCTAGGTTCCTCCATGTTGCAACCAAAGGGGGTCAAAAGGTGAATTCTGCTCAGGCTCCTTCGGCCTTCGATGCAAGCCATCAACCATCAACTTGTGTCGCTATGGCCTTTGTTTGGCATGTTTATCTCACCGAGCTCATCCTTGGGAATTTGTTGCTCTGCTGGGTTTCCAACAAAGAGGGTTATGACCCCCGGTTTTGGAAGCTCCGCTCCAGGTGCACAATTTCAGCGACACTGCCGCGAGCGTGTCTGGCATCCGCTTTGATGACGAGGATCCGGCACATGTGCCGATCCGTGCCGCATTTTGCCAGAGTCCTTTAAAAGGATACTTTGGGCCACTCAAAATAACAGACCACATCTTCCGGCTGGTTCGCAAGATCCCTTTGTAAATCAGACGTTTGGGTTTTGAGGAACTCTGTTTACGGATATATTTGGTTTAAAAGCATCTGTTGAGGTGTTGCACGGCAATTGCCTCTTTTGGTGGTCGGGAGTGAGAATTTGACCTTTTGAGTATATAGGGGTTGATTTTGGTGAGTGTAACATGGACGACCATTGCAAATCGGTTTCCCTTTTGGCGGTCCGAGACCAAAAAGGGCTTCTCGCAAGGTGCCTGTATGGACCTATGTTCTTTGCCAGCGATCAATTCGCCGATCAATTCAGGGTTCGCTACCAAGAGTTCAGACATTCACATGTCACAGGTTTGACATCCAACCTCGAGTTAAGCTGGCTCTCCTGAGACTTGAGAGTTGTGTCACCGTGAGTCTTCCATGAATCCAGAGATTGTTTCGGATGTGTTGGTCACCACAAAGGCGAGACAGGCGGAAAACCACAGGATTCGGCAACCATAATCTTTTTGAGCTCTTAGTGGATCTGCACTACGGCGAGCTCACCTTGGCAACCAAGCTCCGGCCTCATGATGAAGGTTCCATATGGAATATAGGCAGTATGCAACAAGATGTAAGAAGGATAGCTGGAGTATCGAGCACCACCACCTATCACATTGTGCACCATGATTCGTGATGACTACTTGTTTTCTTTTTTTTTTAATCAGTTCAAGCTGCTTTCTTTCAGCGAATCGAGCAACAGCAGATCTTGGCATTTGTACACATTCGGGGGTCACGTTGGTGAACTATGGTGAACTCATTTATACAATTTGCCATTGGCCAGGACCTGGACAAGTTCGAGCTGACTGGGTCCATCACGTGGTCCCCGCCGCCGGACGAGCAGGTCACCTTCTTCCGAGTGCCTTGAGCATGGCATGCGCATGGCTATGGTTTGTTTGCTCTTGTTCGTGTCTCTGGGTGGCAACTGTTGGACACATAGCTCCCTGCAATCCCCGTTGAGTGGTTTTTGCACATCACATGTCGGGCCAATTAAAATTGTTTTACTTTTGGGAACCCTGCACCGGTCACGCTCGAACACTTTACTGTCAGCTGCTTCAGTGAAGGAGATAGCATCAGGTACACATGACCCACATGCAAAAAACTTCACGATTCCAAATTCGACCACGGCTCACGCAAGCATTCTGATGCTTGTGCATGTGTGTGTGTGTGAGGACGCTAGAGTCCGTGTGTGACGGCTCATACAGTGTTATCCAACATGTTATTTTAGTTTGGTCCAGCCAGCTCAGCCAACGTTTAAGCTTTAGAAAGGGTGTCGAAGCAGTAGGAGAGAATATTCCCCCGTCACAAACTGTTCGAATGTGGAGTCCTGGAGCCTGAGAGGGTTCCTTTTAAGAAATGGAGCCCGTGGTCTTCCATTTTTAAGATTGTTTGATGTGGCCTTCCAAACTTAGAGACACCAAGGGATACGCAGATGTAAAGCCACCTTGTTGGGTTTACAGCAATTAAAAAACTAAGGGACCTTTATGAGGGGGCATTATTTTGTTCTATAGCTGAGTCTCAAGCGAGCCACGAGCTATCCGAATTCGGCAGGGTTGGGCAAAAAAGTGTTTACCCCATAGGGAAGCATAGCGGAGCTTGTGTAAACATCAGTTTTGGGCAGTCGCCACCAATGGTGCTGCTTCTTTCGTTTATTCTTCTGGTTTGAGCTCTTTTGATACCGTGTTTTGATGGCTCCTTTCCCCGTGAGGATGCTCTGTTCTCTTCTACCAGCTTGGTGATGTTGTTTCAGGGCAATATCTACTGAGGTCTACTTTGCCTCATCATCCAGCGGCGTGGGCGGGTCGGGACGACTGCAGCTGAGCGAACAGCCCGCGGCAGTGACGGTCGCGTACATCCCCAACAACTTTCAGACGGTCGGCTACAGTCACATCCTTGTGCCGCCCAGCAAAAGTCACAGCTTTGTCAAAGTATATCGCCAATTAGTTTTGTTCTTCCCTGGCAACAGTGACTGTGTTTAGGGCAGAGTGTCTGTACACAAAAGCAGCAACGTGGCTATCTAGGCTGCCTTCGGTTGCATTTGGGGGTTCGGGACGTGGGGACTGACACAAGTTTGCACGGCTGGGGAGGAGTCTCGGAAGATGCGTATTCTGGGCCCCTATGAAAGGAAGCGCCTGAAGCAGTTTTGAATCCCGAGATACTGTTATCACCAACCTCCAACAGTTTCCATCATACATATATATCTGCTTGTGTGTCTCTTGGACTCAAGATATATTGTGTGTTCCAAAGTAGACACACGTATTTGTCTTCCAACATCAGCACGCTGGGATATCAACACGCTGTCGAATCTCAGCATGCTTTCATTGTTTTCATCTTGGAAGCAATTATTGCTTTAGAGGCACATTCCTATCTTCCTAAGGTCCATCTAATGTTTCATGATATCATCTTCCAAGATAGTTCTACTTGAGGCACATTCTAGTTTATAAATGTTACGTCTCATAGGACAAGACTCATTTCATTTGGAGGTCGTTCGTCTCAGCTTAAACTTTTTCAAGGTATGAACACCATACTTCTGTCCTTCTGATTACTTCTGGTCATCAGTACTGGTGGGCGTTGCTCACGTCTACTTTTGGATGGGCTTTACTTCTGATCATGCAGGTCTACTTACGAAGCACTAGAAGACGTGTATATCAAGCCGTAAGGCATTCAAGCTGAGTACCTACTTAATGATTACTGAACGGAATGATTCATAATGTAAAGCAAGGCGGCTGGATGGCCATCCCTTGTGGCCCATGTTTGATGCTAAGAGCAGCCGAACTGACTGCTTTGGGCAATTCGCTTGATTGAAAGGATGTTGAACTTGTCCCATCCTAATATTTGCGTTTCCGCCTGGGGTTGACACGTGGGCAAGTGGGTCTTTTGACTAGGACCGGAGATGATGTTTACTGCCTGTTGGCAAACTTTGAACTTTGTGGGTAGGTCCCATCTGTTTAGAGGCCTACAGAGTTGAAACCGTTTTGACTAATTTGATCGCCGATCTGATCCTCAGCTCAAAGCCGGATTTGAGCCGTCGGAATGAGGTGTCCGAAGCCTGACCCCCACGGTTTAAAGCGGAACTGACAGATCATTATTCACTTGGAAGGCTCCTTCTTGGACATACGCATTTCCATGTGCGCCCAAGTTTGATTGATCTCTTTCAGATAAAACCTGTACCTAAAGTGGAGCCAAAACCAGGAAACGATCCCTCAACTTTACCGCATGCCCTTCCCGGACGGTTTTCGCAAGAAGGACTCTGGGAGCAAACAAGGCTGTGTTTCTTTGTGTCCCGAATTCTGCGTGCAAATGAACCCACAATCAGAGATGGGTAATTTAGACTGTTGGGCGGGGATTGTTTCGCCTTTGAGAGCTTGACTCGGAGAGCAACCACCACCCCTTTGATTCTTTGCCGAATTCGGAGGTACACAGAATGAGTCCCAGGTTCAGACTATGACTGATAGAGAGTCGTGTGGGCATGTCTTGGAAGCAATTGGTTGGAGTTTGTTTGGTTTCCTTAGAGTTTGCTCCAAATCTGGACCGCACGCTTGGAACAACGCACAAGCACAGCAACACACGAACACAGGCACACACGCCGCACACACACACAACCACACACAACCACACACACAGACCAAGACAGGCAGAGGGACACACGCGCACACACCCACACCCACACACACAGAGACAAGCAGAACGACTCAGATTTTCATAGCAGCTGACACTTTGGGTGTGTCCCGAGGTACACGGGTTCCGTTCTGGCGGAGCAGACCACGCCTGAGGCACTAGAGTTTGTGGATGATGCCCTGGAGGTGGCGAACCTCAGCTTCCCGGACCAGGATTCAAGCCGATTCGGATCGATCCTCTCTCTATGGAAAGCTTTCGAATGGGAACCAACACAGACACGGTCCGTCACTTAAGAGCTTCAGACATTAGAATGGCTTAGTGGGGTACGAACAAATAACGACCTGGCCCAGTGAACATAGGAGAAAGATGTTTACAATTATGTAGCCTGCGGTCAAGGGATGGTCCCCAAAAGGATACAGAAGCCGGTGAAAGCAAAAAACCAACAAAATGTCAACTGATTTAGATATTTTTCTGGTAGAGCAGGTGCTTGCACGGAGCCTTTCAGAAGTTCTGGCCGAGGCAAGCCTGTACTTTCCTAAACATATGGCTACACTGGATTGCCTCAATGACACCCCGGGGAAACCTGGCTTCCGGAGTCACAGAATTTCCGCAAGTTTCTCAGTACTGTCAGTCCAAAGCGACTCGGCCTTTTGAAACGGTTGGGTTTTCCCTTTGTTGGCAACCATGTCTTGTCTTTCTTTCTGATCCCAAATGGTGATTGTCTTTGATTTGGAATCATCAATGGATTCCCCAACCAAGGCACCGCCCTCCCCCAATTTCACTTTCAAGAGATGGGGATTCACGGACAAATCGGTGCCATACCTGGCTCCAGGGGTCCATTAGGGTAGCACAAAACCATTCCGCTATTGATTGTTGGAAAGAGCGCCTCCTGTGCGGATCTGATTGAGGGCTAGAGAATGCTTGGAAAAGCCCAAGGAGCTACATGAGCTTTGTTGGAAGCCCCCCCAGACTTCATAGAAACGACATCCTGCGAAGAAGCAAAAGGCTAAAGACGCCACAGTGGCCTCTTCTGCTTAGGGCTGTGCCAATAGACATAAATGTTGATTGGCCTCACCATCTGCATCAGGACCCTTGGTGACCATGGTTGGTGGGTTCCATAGTTCCAGCACCCCAACGCCATCCTCCAAAGCTATGAATTTGGGGGGGTACCCCCTGGATATTAAGACAAAACATGCCTCCTTTGCGGTCTTGGCAACGGACTGGGCTGACTTGTCCGAAGGAAACCCTCAAACCTTGGCACGATTGGGGAACCCCGTGTATACCCGAAAAGTATACCCCGGCATATATCAAGGTGGGCGAGTCCCAGATGAAAAGGGGATGCTTAACAGAGCACAGAGACTCGCTGCAGGCTGTTGGATTGTCATGCTGATGGCTTTGGACGTAAGGCAAGTGTATAGTATGCTGAGTTCCTGAGATGGTTTACATGGGTTCGTCTCTTGAAATAGGACAAACTCCCCAAAAGTCATTGTTTCCCGTTGAGTTTCCCTTTGTATCAATACAAAGCAAATGATTTTGCCTCACTTGGAACATTTTTAAATGAGCTCCGATGACGTTCAAGTTGGGATTTGCATGAGTTTGGGGTGCATTTGTTCTGAAGGAACCTTGTGTTCAGAGGCCTGGGAAACCGCCGCACTTTTTCACTGGAATGGATTCCCCGAGGACCTCGACGCCCAGGAAGTCGGAGGCGCTGATGAAGCCCCGAAACGTTTGGGAGTATGAGATACTCGTGAAGAAAAGCGGGGGTAAAACGTCCGCGAGAGTTCAGAATTGATTGAAAGTTCATTGTGGTAAACAAGTTGTTTCCCGGGCTTGCACTTGAGCAAGAGATAGCAAAAGCCGTTTGCAGTTCCCTTGCTGTTGGTATAGGGATCAGCAAATCCCTTGTGGGGCCTCTTGTTTTCGGGGCCTTCCAAAGAGCTGGAAGAAGCAGGAAGCATCAGGAAACAGCAGCAAAGAAACATGAAACAGCAGGAAACAAAGCAGCCCTTGAACGTAGAGCTCGCGCTTGCAAGGGTAAGCTCCGCGAGCACACATTTTTATTGTACACGCTTCGTGCTGCCCGCCTCGGCCAGCATCAGCCAGTTTCGGCTTGCTTTGAAGGGAATGGCATTTCGTTGTGGGCGCTCACTTCACGGACGCTTGCAGGCGCTGTCGGCTCCCTTTGTGCCTCTCTTGGTGGGCTGTCTTGGTGGACGCTTGTGGGTGGAAGTCTTGCGATGACGCTTTGCGGGCGCTCCTTCGTGGGGCTTGTGGGCGCATGTGGGCCACAAGGACGGAAAGTCTTGCAAGCGTGCATCATGAGTGCTTGCGGGCGCTTGTGGGCAGCACTGTTGCCTTTGTGGGCGTTCCTCTTGGCGGTGCTTGTAGGCGCATGTGGGCGCTCTTCTTGGGCGCTTTTGGGGTGCGGCGCATATGGGCGTCGCCACAAGCCGCCCACAAGCGCCCGCAAGCACTCATGAAGAACGCCCGCAACCACCACAAGCACCCACCAAGAGCGCACAAGTGCCCGCAAGCAATTATGAAGGGAGCGCCTGCAACAGTGCCGCCCACCCCCCCCCCACAACACCCATGAAACCCCGCCCACATGCGCCCACAAGCGCACCCAGCAGAGAGCGTGGGGTTGCGCTGTTGCGGGCGCGCTCAGCGGTCCATTTGGGCGCTTGCATTGCTTACATTACTTGGGTTCAAGCCGTTTTTTCATTGGGGTTGAACATGTTTACCTGACTCTGAGTGGACTGGCCAAAAAAGCAACCAAACTTGTCATTTACAACTAACATGGTCTTCCCAAAAATAACTAAAGTCCAGGAACCCATCACCCAAAGGGAAGGGTTCAAATCGCCGCGTGTTAATGTCTACAAGGGGGGCATTCAACGACACCTTCTGGAAGCATTTCTGGCCCGACAGCTGAGAAAGGCTGCCACCCCACGCAACCCCATAGCATTTGGCCCTAGCTGCGCCGCGCGTATCTAACCGTCATCCTATTCGAACATATGGGTGACTCCTCTTGTTTAAGGCTCGCAAGGAGATTGGGTGTTCCTTATACTTTCCCTGTAACACCACCCCACAGAGCTACCCTGTGTGTCAAATTCGGTCAGGTCTTGTGTCGTTTGCCCAGAACCCAAGCTTCTTTGGTGCCCTGCCCCAAAGGATCTGCACATAACAGCAGCCTTGCCTTTTCAACGCCCAATAAGACGCCCGCCCACAAGCGCCCACAACGCTGCCCACAAGCCCAGCCACAGACCGGCGCCCACATGCCCCGGAAGACGCCCGCAACACCGACGCCCACAAGCCCAGCAAGATGCCCGCAACGCCGACAAGCGCCCACAGGCCCAAACAGCACAAAACTGCCCGCAAGTGCCCACAAGAACATCAAAACCACAACGCCTAGAAAGATGTTCGCCCACAAGCGCCCACAAGCCCAAGAACACCGCCCACAACGCTGCCCAAGCCCAGCAAGAGCGTCACTCGCATGTGAGTACCTGGGAAGCTCAGTTTTAGACCCTTTGACCGGTTGATGGACAAAGGCGAAGCCTCACGTGTTGGGGTTGGACCATTTTAGTGGTTGTGGCTTTGGACATTTTTTTCTGAGCTTGCGCGGGCGTTGTTGCGGGCGTTCTTCCTTGTGGGGGCGTGGGTGGCGTTGTGGGCGTCGGTGATAGTGGGAGCTCGTTTTGGGCTGGGGGCGCTTCAGCGCGAGTTTTGCTGGTGCGCTCCCTCTCTCTCTCTCTCTCTCTCGCTCTCTCTCTCGCCTCTCTCTCTCTCTCTATCTTCTCTCTCTCTCCTCTATTCTCTTCTTCTCCCTCTCTGTCTGGAGTTTGTGGGTGTTAGCGACTCCGGAGGCTTGTTTGTGGATGACCTCCAGCTACTTTTGTGAGTACCCAGGCGCACGTTAAACTTCAGCGCTTTGTGTGTCCGTGCGCACACACGCTGCGTACGTGAATCAGTGTGCAAGAAACAGCTGGCGGCGGAGAGGGAGGAAGGGAGGGAGGGCGGAGAGGGAGGAAGGGAGGGAGGAAGGGAGGAAGGGAGGGAGGAGGGAGGGAGGGAGGAGGAGGGAGGGAGGGGGGAGGGAGGGAGGGAGGGGGGGAGGGGAGTTTAGGGATTGTGAGCGTTTGTGTGAGTTCTTTGGGGGAGTGTTTGTGTGAGTGTTTGTGAGTGCTTGTGAGTGTGAGTGATTGTGAGTGTTTGTGAGTGATTGTGAGTGATTGTGAGCGTTTGTGAGTGTTTGTGAGTGTTTGTGTGCTTCTGAGTGCTTGTGGTTGTGCGCACTTTTGCTCTTGCTGGGATTGTGGGCGCTTTTGTTGGGCTTGTGGGCGCTTCTGGTGGCTGTGGCTTGGGCTTGTGGGCGCTTGTGGGCGCCCTTGCTGGGCTTCCAAGCGCTTCTGCTGGGCTGTGGGCGCTTTTGCTGGGCTCAGCGCTTTTGCTGGCCTGCTCTTGCTGGGCTTGTGGGCGCTTTTGCTGGGATTGGGGCTGGGCGCTTTTGCTGGGCTTGTGGGGGGGTGGTGGGGGGGGGTGGGGGGTGGGGGGGGGTTGGGGGGGGGGGGGGGGGGTGGTGGGGGTGTGGGGGGTGGGGTGTGGGGTGGGGTGGGGTTTGTTTTTTTTGGGGTGGTGAGGGGTGGGGGGTTTAGGATGTGTTTGGGATGTGTTATGGGGTGGGAGGGAGGGGTTGGGGAGTGTCTTTAGTTATTTTCGTTTTTTGTTTTCTTTTTTTTTTTTATTGTTTTTTCTTTTTTTTGTCTTTTTTTTTTTGTGTGGGTTTGTGGCGCCCACGTGCGCCCACATGCGCCCACATGCACTCGCGTCAGCCCGTTTTTTCCCCCGTTTTTTTTGCCGCCGGGCCGTTTTTCGACACACAAGTGCCCAAGTGCCCACAAACGCCCACACACAAGGCTATGCACTGTTGTGGGCTCCGACACAAGCCCAGCAAAAGCGCCCACAAGCCAAAAAGAGCGCCCAAACCCCAGAAGCGCCCGCAAGCCCACGCCCAAGCGCCTACAAAAGCCCAAGCGCCCACAAAATCCCAAGCGCCCACAAGCGCCCAAGTCTTACAAGCCCGGTAAAAGCGCCCACAAGCCCAGCAAAAGCGAAAAGCGCTTTTGCTGAGCCTGTAAGGGCTTGCTGGGCTTGTGCGCGCTTTTGCTGGGCTTGTAAGCGCTTTTGGCTACGGGATTTTGCTTATGGGCGCTTCTGGGCGCTCTTGTTGGGCTTGTGGGCTCTCTTGGGCTTGTGGGCGCTTTTGCTGGGCTTGTGGGCGCTTGCGCTCTTGCTGGTGGGCGGTTTTGCTGGGATTGTGGGCGTGAGAGGGCGGTTGTGGGTGGGCGCTCTTTCTGGGCTTGTGGGCGCTTGCGTGGCTTGTGGGCGCTTTTGCCGGCGCCCACATGCGCGCCCACATGCGCCCACATGCGCCCACACGCGCCCACATGCACTCGCGTCAGCCCGTTTTGTCCCGCTCGTTCCCGTTTTTTCCCGCTTGTTCCCGTTTTTCCCGTTTTTTCCCGCTCGATCCCGTTTTTTCCCGTTTTTTCCCGCTCGATCCCGTTTTGCCTTCTTTTCCCACAATCACCCAGAAGTGCCCACAAGCGCCCATGTGCACACGGCTTTTGCTGGGCTTGTGGGCGCTTTTGCTGGGCTTAGGGCGTTGGCGCGTGCTCGGGCGCTTTCTTGTGGACGGCTGGGCTTGGCGATCTTGTGGGCTTGTGGGCGCTTTTCCTGGCTTGCGGGTGCTTGTGGGCGCTTTTGCCGGGCTTGTGCTGGGCGCTTGTGGGCGCTTGCGTGCGCTTCTGCTGGGCTTGTAGGCGCTTTTGGCGAAGCGCTTTTGCTTACGGGCGCTTGTGGCGCTCTTGTTGGGCTTGTGGGCCTTTGCTGGGCTTGTGGGCGCTTGTGGGCTTTTTGGGCGCTTTTGCTGGGCTTTCTGGTAGGCGGTTTTGCTGGGATGCGTGTGTGGGCGGTTGTGGGTGGGCGCTCTTGCTGGGCTTGCTGGGCTTGTGGGCACTTGTTGGCGCTGTTGCTTGGGCTTGCGGGCGCTTGCTTGTGGGTTCTTGTGGGCGCTTTTGCTTGTGGGTTTGTGGCGCCCACATGCGCCGACATGCGCCCACATGCACTTGCGTTCTGCCGCTCGTTTTTTCCCGTTGTTCCCGCTTCTCGGGTTGCAACCCACCATCACCCAGAAGTGTATTCCTTTAAGATGCACACAGGCCCAAAGGCTGCAACGTTGTGGGCTCACTTCCTGCGAGCAGGCGGGCGCCTGCAGGTGGCAGCCTTGCTGCACTTTTGCAAGGATTCTGGGTGGGCTTTGCTGGGCTTGTGGGCGCTTTTGCTGGGCTTACGGGCGCTTGGGCTTGCTGGGCTTGTTGGTGCTCTTTGTGGGCGCTTTTGCTGGGCTTGTGGGCTGGGCTTGTGGGCGGCTGGGCTTGGTGCTCTTGTGGGGTTGTGGGCACTTTTTCTGGGCTTGAGGGTCTGGCCGCTCTGCCTTGTGGGCGCTTTTGCTGGGCTTGTAGGCGCTTGTGCGCTCTCTTGGGCTTGTGGGCGCTTTTGCTGGGCTTGCGGGCGCTTTTGCTGGGCTTGGGCGCTTGTGCGTTCTTGCTGGTGGGCGGTTTTGCTGGGCTTGTGGGCGTGTGTGGGCGGCTGTGGGTGGGCGCTTGTTGGCGCTGTTGCTTGGGCTTGTTGGCGCTTGTGGGCGCTTGCTTGGGCGGGCAGCACTTGTGGGTGGGCGCTTTTGCTGGCCTGCTCTTGCTGGGCTTGTGGGCGCTTTTGCTGGGATTGTGGGGCTGTGCTTTGGGCGCTTTTGCTGGCTTGTGGGCGTTTGTTGGCGCTTGCGGGCGCTCTTGGCTTTTGCGGGGCTTGCTGGGCTTGTTGGCGCTTTTGCTGGGCTTGTGGGCGCGTTGCTGGGCTTGGTTCTTGTGGGTGCTTTTGCTGTTTGGGCGCTCTTGTGGGCGCTTTTGCTGGGCTTGTGGCGGTGGGTGTTTGTAGGCGCTTTTGCCGGGCTTGTGGGCGCTTGTGGGCTCTCTTGGGGTTGTGGGCGCTTTCGCTGGGCTTGTGGGCGCTTTTGCTGGGCTTGTGGGCGCTTGTGGGCGCTTTCGCGGGGCTTGTGGGCGCTTTTGCTGGGCTTGTGGGCGCTTGCGCGCTCTTGCTGGTGGAAGATGCCTCAAAGGAGTCAACTGCTTCAAGACGATGAGGGCGCAAACCTAGGCCCAAAGCAAATGTGTCTGATCTTTGGTAAAAGGCCCTGCTTACCCTTAATCCAAACCGGTTGTGGGTGGGCGCTCTGGCTGGGCTTGTGGGCGTTTTTGCTGGGCTTGTGGGCGCTTATTGACTTATAACGCTTGTGGGCGCTTGTGGGCTGCTAAGAGCTTTTCTTTTGCTGGGCTTGTGGGCGCTTGGGCGCTTGCGCGCGCTCTTGCTGGACTTGTGGGCGCTTTTGCTTTTTGCTAGGCTTGTGGGCGCTTGTGGGCGCTTTTGCTGGGCTGGCCCTTGTGGGCACTTGTGGGCGCTTTTGCTTTGTTGCTCTTGCGGGGTTTGTGGGCATTGTGGGCGCTTGTGGGCGCTTGTGGGCGCCGGTTTTTGGGGCGCTCTTGCTGGGCTTGGTTGGCGCTCGTTTTGGGGGGCTCGTGGGTGCTCTGTTTGTGGGCAGAGTTGCGGGGGTGGGCTTGTAGCTCTTGGCTTGGTGGGTGGTGTTGCGGGCGCCGCGCTTTTCGTGGGCTTGTGGGTGCTAGTGGGCACATGCGGGCTCTCTCTTGGTTTGCTTCCATGTGGGCGCATGTGGGCGCTTGCTTGTGGGCGGAAGTGGCGCTTGCTTGGCGGGCGCGTGAGCGCATGTGGGCGCTTGTGGGCGGATGTGATGAGTGCTTGTGGGCGCTTGTGAGCGCAGGTGCTTTCTTGATGAAGTGTTGTGCTTCGGGTTGTGAACGCATACAAGCACTTGGAAGAAGTGCCTCTTTGATGGGTGCTTGTGAGCGCACGTGGGCTTGTGGGCGCTTGTGGGCGCCAGTCAGTCTGGGTGGGTCATGAACGCGTTCTTGGCGGTGTGGGCGGTAGCGTTGCGGGCGCTCCAGTCATGGGTTCATAAGGGCGCATGTGGGGCTGAACTGTTTTTGCGGGCGGTTTGCGCCCTTGTGGACGCTTTTAGCTGCCATGGTGCGGGTACCGGCACTTGCGGTTGCTTCTGGGCGGCGTTTTTGGGGGTCGCCTTCATGCGCATGTGGGCGCTTGTTGGGCGGCAGTGTTTAATGCCTTTCATGGGCGCTTGTGGGCGCTCTTTTGCGGGTCTTGTGGGCGCACGTGGGCGCTTGTGGGTGGAAGTGTTGCGTGCGGTCTCCACGAGTGTGCATGTGGGAGCTTGTGTGCGCTCAGCTTACGTTCGGATGTTTAGATGTTGCAGTGATCAGTACAAGAGTAAATCACGTCGGCATGTTCTTGAGACGCGCTGAGCCAGCGTCGACTTTGGGCGCTTGGGCAGGTTTGGGATCTGGGTTTTTTGGTGTTTTTCCTGTGTTTTCCCGTGGCTTCAAGTTTTTTTCTGGAGGGCAGAAGGCCCCCACAAGCCAAGGCCCCACATGAAGTTTGCTGGAGGGAAGAAATCTCGAGGGTGACCTGTGCCTTCTGCCTTCACCCAACAGAGATGGGATGTCTTGTTTTACCGTCGGTGCACTGAGTCACTTTGTATCAGTGGCAATTTTGTTCCTTGGCTTCCGGTGAGAGCCAAAGTGCTTGAACTGCTGAACTGTTTGGTTAGGTTAACTCATATCACAAACAATCTTTGAGAGAGGGTTCACAAGGCCGGTCTCAAACACTATTTGGTGCCTCCATGACCCGTCAACAAGCATCCCATGTGCTTTAAGGCTTCCAGAAGCCGATCAGACGGGGCTGTCCTTCTAAGACTCTAAACAGCCACCGAAGGTAGCAGCGCCCTTTGGTTGGGCTGGGTGTTTGCTTTGCTTATCTTCAAAGAGCTCCAATGACAATGGGTTCATGATTCCTCTTGCAGGCACATGCTCGTCCCCAAAAAGGTTGCCGAAGCAGCCTGGGGCTGGCTCTTGAAAGTCCAGGGTCGGGGAGATGCCAGTACCTCTTTTCCTTGGAGAGGAGTTTCCTTTAAAGCAACTACTGAACAAAAAGCGGTGTTCTTTTCTTCCCATGGCCACTGGAGGTCTGCGGTCTAGGATTAGGCTGGCCCCTGACTACACCACCGCTCTAAAGCCCCCACCAAGGCTTTGGGCTCGATGGGCCTTGTGAGCGCCAAACAAGCTAAGGCCCTATGTGGTGGTCGATGTATCAGATATATCAATTCAGCAAACCTTTCCTTTTCTCTCTTGAAGGACATCCGGTTCCTTTGGGAGGTGTCTTGTTTGTGGGTTGGACATTTTAGGAACCCTGCCCGCCGAAAGAAATGATGCTCTTCCCCCATATCAGGGGAGTGGACAGTTTGTTCTTTTCTAGTCCACCTAAAAGGCGAATTTGATTTGAACGGATTATTGAGGAAACTTTGACGAACATCACTAGGCAGTGTTCGAAACCGTCCGCGGCGTGTGTTTCTTCATCTAGATTTTTTTAAAGGTGCGAGCATGGCACTGGCTTTCAATCACCGAAGCGCAGACGGTTCCGGAAGGGGTTTTCACATCAGGGTGTGCCCTGGGGCCTTTCATGAGGAAGATGTTCCGCACATGCGCCACTTTAGGGTTGACAATTAATCTTCTGAGGCAAGCAGAATAGTTGTTTCAGTACCCACCGCTAGTTTTCATTTGGAGATGACACGCGTGGACCGAGCGCTGATCAGTTGGAACTTCCTCACCCCACCGCTCAGTCGCCAGGCTATGTGTCCTGGGACACGCCGAACTTCACGGCCACGGCGCCTTGGCGCACCGAGATTCTGCAGATGTTCTTGTATATTATATATATATATATAGAGGGGTCCCCTGAAATTGTGGGTTTCTTCTGGTTTACCTTAATTACCTTCAAATTCCAACCACTTTGGAGAAACTCTTGTATTGTGACGTCCGGTCGACATTTTCCAGTGGTCTATCGTTCATTTGGGAGGGCATGAGACTTACTTAGTTTCCCACGAACAACGAGGTGGCTCACTAAGTTTTCCATGCCCTCTTGCGCAAGTGATTTTGGGCATGACTCATATCCCTTGAAAGGGAGGTTACTTGGGGGGGAGGGGATTCCAAGCAGAAGCGGTGAACAACCGCATACCAACTGCCTCTGGAATGCATGTTTTAACTTGCTTGGAATGGGTTTAACCAACAATCTCAGTTTGCCATGAGACCCTTGGACCCTGAACAAATAGAGGGCTTTTCACTAAGTAAGGCCGTAGCTGAGATTTACACTTCTGTTTTGATTCTTTTCATAGGGGACCCTTATTTTGAGTTGGCGAGGGAAATCGTATAATTCACCCAAAAAAAGTGGGCTTGGTCAAAGAAAGCACCCTTTGACTTGGGACTGGGATGCTCATCACCCCTTTAAAGAAGGCTACCATTGTAAGGTTTCCTATCCAGGAAGACATGGCCCACGGAGAAGGGAGGTTCTTAATGTGATCCTTTTGGACTGATTTACTTGCAGCTCACCTTGGGCTTAAAACAAGCTCGGAGTCACATTTAACACGCGCTCACACCCAAGTGCTTGTAGTCCCCTCAGCGTTCCGAACCGGTTTTTGGCTTGGGCGCGTCGATTCATTCACGCTCAAAACTTGGGGCGAACAAGGGTTTCCTTTGGCCCAGCCACAGGGGTAGATTGATATTGCGTCCTGCTGTTTTCTTTCGGGACCAACTTTCCATAATTTTGGCCAGGTCTTTAGAGCAACCCTGTCCTTCCTAAAATTGTTCCAGCCAGGGTCTCCCTGTTGACCCCGACCATGTACGATTTAAGATTCAAGAGAGTCATTTGACAAGCAGAACGTTCGGGTTATCGAGGGTACGGCCAAGTATTTTTCACAACTGCGAGAGTTTTGACCAAACTTTGCACATGACTTGGCTGCAAAGTCCTTCCTTGCATTGAAAGCTGCCGTGGGTTCCAACCGTTCTTTGCAACCATCATCGTTTTCAAACAACACCATTTTCGCTGGGATTCCGGTGGTTTTATGGAAAGAAGGATCACGAATGGGGAAGTTACCTCTAAGAAGACCCTGATTCTGATTCCTGGCAGCCTGAGCGAAGGTCTCGCACTACGCAGTGTACCTCTCCGTGGACGTCTTTGGCACCAACCGCTCCAAGGCTCGTTGAAAGTCGATAGGGTTGGGCCAGAGGTCCTCTTACGGGTGTTTGTGTTGTTTTGTGACGGCACCCTTTTTGGGGTGGTCTTAAATGGACCACCTAAAGGAAAAACACCGTTTTCAAGTTCCCCATTTAGATATATTATATAAATGCATAGGAGTTGTTCAAATTGGTGGACCTCCTTTTGGATGGTATTGAAAAGGAAACTCACAGGAACCCAGCCATTTTCAGGGGAGTATTTCAAGAAGCACCCATGCCACGTGAACAACGGACAGTAGGGTATCAGTGTTGGATAGCTCCCCATTGGTTTGCAGATTGATTGGTATCAGTGTTGGTAGGCCTCTGTCAGTTTCTGCTAGTAGTATTGGCGGGCATTCATCAAGAGAAGTTTATAAGGACATTTTGTTGCGGACACTTCATTGTTTCGGCGGGCGGGATACCCGGCTGGCCGAAAGCTATCCCGGCCGTGAAGCCGCTCGAAATGGGTGCGGAACGGGAGCGGTCTTGGAACGGACGCAGGCTCTACTGGTATGTCCCTGATGTTGCTTGGGATTGAGGCATGACCTGTTTTGGCTGTTTGAAAATTAATCTTCTGTTGGTGGTGATGTTTGAAGGGACGCAGATGGACGTTGGTGAGATTTCTCGTAACTACCATAAAGAATTGATTAACACTTTCGAAAGGGCATGTCAAGGGGTCTGCCTTTGGATTGATCGGATGCCAACCCGATTTTTCTTATTTCGCAAGTTTCAATTGGCATGAGGCTTCTCCTCTTCATACCCCGTGTATTTGGGATGTTTCTTTTCCTCCAAACTTGACCAAGGTCAAAGGGTGCGTTTTGTTTAATTGCCATCGAGCACGAAAGTATATTACCACGAAACTCGATAGTGCAGGCATGGAGGGCCATATGAGGCTTATTCACAGCGTCCAACCATGAAAGTTTCTCCCAAGGTTGGCGCCCAACAAACCAGCGCCAGGTGCGTTCCAACGGTCCTCAGGTCTTGAAGCGGAATTGGTGGGCTCCATCCGCAAAGTGATCCCAGTTCGTTGTGGCTTTGTGTGGCTACGTTCTGTATCTAGTTCACGAAGACCGACACTTTGCAGTGTGGTTTGAACGACTGAAGCCATATCTACAACCTGCATTTGGGCATGGTGTTTCGTGGTGATATTAGCTGCTCTCCATCCATCCGTTACTTTTTGGGGAACCCTGTGCAGTAACGGGGGTACAAAGCCGAGAGAGCGCTGCTCCACCAGGTGGGCGATGACATCCCGCTGGGCACCAACACTGCTTTGGTGCTTTGACTCGAGGGTTTTCCATGTCGACCCCAGTTTCTGGTGGATTGTTGCGTGAATGTTCCCCAAAGCGAAGGATACCCGATACCCTCTTAAATGGGGCACACCTATCAATCAACCAGGGCTTTAATACTTCTGCGAAGCATCATTAGCCTTTAGATCGCATTTGGAGGGGTGAAGCAGTTTGAGGTTGTTCAAGTTTGTTTTGTTCAACTCTTATCTTATCTTTGCACGAATGGAGAGCTATGCCACCAATCCGGAGGGGTGAAAGGAATGATTGGAATATAGCCCAAGGATGAAAGTCCCTTGATAATTTTGGGTTCGCTCCCGTTAACGATCTGTTACAAATTGGTTCAAGCCGCTGTTTGAACATTTGTTTTGGATGTCTTTCTTTGGCGCGACCAGGGCAGCAGCATGTTCCACCTTGCCCTTTGGGTCCAAACTGCGGGGGTTCCGAGGTACCTGCGGAGACGCCCCTGGCGGATTGGAAGTACGTCGCGGTGTACATGAAGTCCCCTGGGGCCTGGGATCAGCGCTCGACGTGACCCCCAAAAGGGAATGGAGCGTCATCGCGTCATCCAAGCGACGACCCAACTTTTTTCCGCCAGCTCGAAAAAGGAGGCACTGTTGCAACACCAGGCCACCAAGGGGCTTCACTTGAAAGTGTGGTGTGTGAAAATATATTTGAAGTATGTTTTTTGCCACTGGGTGCATGGAGCAGGGGAGGATTTATAAAGAGGCCCAGCTGAACAAGGCTGAACAGGGTCTGAACGGTTTGGTCTTTGTGCGGGTGTAGGCCCTGAGTTCTGAGCATCGTTCAGCTTGACTTCGTTGTCCCACTCACCAAAGTCATTTTTTTCAGCTTAAGCCGCCGGCTCTCCAGGCTCTTGCAATCTCCGGCCGAGGCACTCCCCATACTCTCACACTGAGCCAAAAACGGCGCTCACCCTGAAGATCAAGTCAAACCCGCCGCATGTCTCCCAAAAAATGGGTTCCAATCCCCCAAAGTTGGTTTAATCCCAAAGCATGATGCCAAACCCAAAAAAGTGGTTGCCTTTAAACAACGGTTCCACATGAAAAAGAAGGAACGGCATTCGATCCTTCAGCTTGGTCCTAACAGTTCTTTTATATCAAGGTCTGACCCCAATGACTACGATTGGTTTAAGCATAGTTCGTAGGCTCCCACAGAGGGAGCCCTTCCAACGACGGGCTACCAAGCAACTAGTTGGTGCTCTGACTGGTCGGGATTTGGACGAGGGTCCTAGGGACCAAGCCACCTTAGCAAAGATTCCCACTGAGGCTTTATCTGGCCTTATTGTCCTCAAAGTGATCCTTACGGCCAAGCCACGTGGGGGGCTCCTTGCCTTGGCGCGAAACCAACTTCCTGCTCCAGTCATCCCAGCCTTGACTGAAGTTGGTATGATGTCAATCCCTGAGTAATGAAGGTTGAGAAGCCATGCTTTCAATATATATGTATATACCCGACCTAGTCGAATTGTATCCCCACAATTAGATCTATGTTTGACAAATCAGGAATTTCAAGATAAATGCTTGTTTGTTCAAGGGCTGGCATCATGAATGAGCAAAACCCCCGGGTATGACGAGCAAGTTGACTTTTGCAGGCAGAGCAGACTACACCGGCCAGCCTTCTCATCAGCGACTCCGCTTTGCAAGACCGGGCCTCAGACGCGAGACAGCGGGCCGGGTTCAAAGTTTACCTTTTGACCTCCCATCAGGGGACCTTCTACGTCATCGTTTCTTGAGCATTTCCAAGGTTTGTCTCTTGACCGTTTGAAGAGTTAGAAAGGACTATATAGTCTTCTGACGTATCTCAAATATATTTTGAAACAGGGTTGCACAGAACTTCGAGCGGTTTCTGTTCGGTCTGCTTTTAGGTTCAACAAAGCGAGTCGACATTTTTGTCGCACAACAAACTGGGTGATGCCCGAGCCATGGAACTATCCCTTGAACATTTTTTCTTGGATCTAACTGGTTTAATGGGGATTGTGCAAGGCCCATATAAAGCTTTTTCAGCAGCCTGGTAGAACCAAACGTCTAGTGGGGGTTCGTGCTGGGGAGGCGGGTGACTCTCCTAATTCTTATGTTAGTTCCGGGCACCCACTGGGGTTCTTGATATTTCTCTTGGGAGCCTGGAAAAGTGGCAGTACCATTGGAATCTACTTGTAAATTCACCGACGGGTATGACAGGGTTCACTATAATTCTATGATCCAGTATTGACAGGGTTCACTATATTTCTCCTTTGATGATGTCAAGTACGACCCTTTGGCAAGGCGAGTTATCGTCAGTTTGATCAAACGGTGATGGTTATAGGTTGGACCTAGGTTGTACACTTGCTGCAGGGCTATCTTGCAGACTCAGCCCAAAAGCAACAAGCTCTTTTTTAACTCTGTGTTTCTGGTAGGTTCCGTTTCGGGGCCTCGTGCAGACCTTTTCCAAACTGAACACGTTCCGAGGCAGCGGACGTGCACCTCTTGGACCTGGATCTCGACCCCCAGGATACAAGTCTGCGGGCAACCATCTCGAGGATGTGCTTCGGTTCAATCTGTTGGTTCTCATTTCGATCACCAAAAACATGGGGCGGCCCTCAGCAAAAGACGCTCCCAGATCCCTTTGCCCAACAATCGTGGAAGTGGACAAAGGGCCTTTTCGAGAGGAGGGAAATCTCGAAACCCTCCTGTCCACTTTCCAAGGTTAATTTAACATCAGCATCCGGAGGACTATGCTCGGGGAAGTATCTCATTTTAATCAGTGACGATTGGGTGGTCGCGTTTGAGGGCTGGACAGAGTCAGGAGGGGGCTGAGAAGCTGGCTGAAGTTATTTGTCTTCCAGCAAACAATTCCATCTTGGATTTGCGTCTTGAAAACGATTCTGGGCGCCTCTGTTAACATATTCATGTGTTGCAACGGTTCGGTCCCCAGACGGCTTGGATCCCAAATGGTTTTGTGCCGGTCTGAAGAGACTAAATGCAGCGGGTATTTGGAGCAGGGGGAATGAAGCCCGGAGGTCTGATGACAATCCCTACGGCCCTACAGCCCAAGTTGTGGTTGCTGAGGATGCTGCTCCCCCGCCTTTTGACCTCCTCATGTTCTAGTTGCGCCGGCAGCTCTTTCACCTCAGTGACTTCAGTGTTTTCCGGATGTTTTGTGGGTTTGTTCATCTGAAGTGGGTTGGACCCCCCAAAAAGTTGCGGGATTTCCCATAGAAAGCTGGATTGCAGCTTGTTTCTCACGGGTAAAAACCCACTTACACAGACCCTATGTGTTGCAATGTCTGTCGCGAGGAAACTCAGGGTGGATCTTAATGTGTGGCTATGACAGGAGCTCGTTAGTAGGAAGCTGTTTTTGCATCAGAAGCAAGGTTTTGGTAAGGGTTGGTTCCATGTTCGTGAAAAAGGTTGGAGCAAAGAGACATGGTCCCTATCAATCGGATGGTCATGCTTTCGGTAAGATTATGCTCAGAAAGCATTTGTTTGGGGGTATTTGTTCCCCATGGTTTCTTGTTTTCGTTGCTCGCTTCTAGCCCCGAGAGGGGGGGTATTGACGTGGTCTGGGCCTCTAGCGCACGCGCATTACATACACACGCACACAGGCCGTGCACACAGGTGAAACGCGGTGTTCACATACACACAAGCACATGCGCGCGCAAAGGCATAGTGCACCCAAACGCGGGGCTGTGTTTTTTCTCGAGGGTGCCGCTCGTTTGCAGGAAAAACAACTGGAAAACCGCATATTGACACACACACACACACACACACACACACACACACACACACACACACACACACACACACACACACACACACACACACACACACACACACACACTCCCACACACACACACACACACACACACACACACACACACACACACACACACACACACACACACACACACACACACACCCACACACACACACCCACACACACACACACACCCAAGCGCTTTCAGTCACACGGTTGTCATTTTTTGGCCGCCACGTGACTCTCGGAAATGTTTTTGCAGCTTCTACGCGTCAAGCTTTTGTGCCTGGCGCCGCAGGCATCTGCAAACATGTAGTTTTGCAAGCACGGGCTTCAGGCTCTGAAAAACAACAGGCTCAAAGCCAACAGACATCTAGCCTTGCAAGCACAGGTTGCAGACTTGAAACATGAGAAACTTCATGAAGTCTTAAAACAAAGTTGTGGTTTTTTTCATAATCTCGCGAGGGCAGGCTTTCAGGAATTCACAAGCAAGACACATTTTAGCCTCCAAACTCAAACTTGTTCGGTTTACACGCAACAGAGTTAATCACATCGTTCGATTGCCAACATTGCAGGCCAGCTTTCCTATTTGCGTCCCTTTGGAATTGTCCCCTTGCCCCCCTTCCCCTCTAAGATCTTTGCCCCCCTTTCCCTGTTGAGATCTTTCCCCCCCTTTCCCCCCTAAGGCCTTTCCCTCCGCTGAGATCTTCTCCCTTTTCCTCCCTAAGATCCTTTGCCCCCTTTCCCTGTTGAGATCCTTTCCCCCCGTTCTCCCCTAAGGCCTTTTCCCCCCTGAGATCTTCTCCCTTTTTCTCACCTAAGATATTTTCCCACCTTTCTTTGTTGAGATCCTTTCCCCGCTGTCCCCCCTAAGGCCTTTTCCCACCCTGAGATCTTCTCCCTGTTCCTGCCTAAGATCTTTTCCCCCTTTTCCCGGTTGAGATCCTTTCTCCCCTTTCTTTCCCCCCTAAGGCCTTTTCCCCCCAGATCTTCTCCCTTTTCCTCCCTACGATCTTTCCCCCCCTTTCCCTGTTGAGATCCATTCCCCCCTTCCCCCTAATGCCTTTCTAGATCTTCTCCCTTTTCCTCCCTAAGTAAGATCTTTTCCCCCCTTGCCCTGCTGAGATCCTTCCCCCCTTTCCCCCCTAAGGCCTTTCCCCCCCCGAGAGCTTCTTTCCTCCCTAAGATCTTTTCCCCCCTTTCCCTGTTGAGATCCTTCCCTAAGGCCTTCCCCCCCCTGAGATTTTCTCCCTTTTCCTCCCTAAGATCTTTTCCTCCCTTGACCTGTTGAGATCCTTTCCCCCCTTTTCCCCCTGAACCCTTTTCCCCCCCTGAGATTTTCGCCCTTTTCCTTCCTAAGATCTTTTCCACCCGAGATCCTTTCCCCCCCTTTCCCCCCTAAGGCCTTTTCCCCCCAAGATCTTCTCCCTTTTCCTCCCTAAGATGTTTTCCACCCCCCCCCCCTAAGCCTTTTCCCCCCAAGATCTTCTCCCTTTTCCTCCCTAAGATGTTTTCCCTTTTCCTCCCTAGGATTTTTTTTGCCTTGGCTTGTTGAGATCCTTTCCCCTCTTTTCCCTTTTCCCCCCCTGAGATCCTCTCCCTTTTTCCTCCCTAAGATCTTCTCCCACCTTTCCCTGTTGAGGTCCTTTTCCTCCCCCCTTTGCGCCTCCCCCCTTTCCCCCCTTTCCCCCCTCTCCCCCCCTTCCCCTTCCCCCTTCCCCCCTTTCCCCCCTTTCCCCCCCTTTCCCACCCTTCCCCCCTTTCTCCCCTTTCCCCCCTTTCCCCCCTCTCCCCCCCTTCCACACCCCCTTCCCCCCTTTCCCCCCTTTCCCCTCTTTCCCCCCTCTCCCCCCTTTCCCCCCCCCCTCTCCCCCCTTTCCCCCCCTTCCCCCCTCTCCCCCCCCCCCCCCCCCCGAGATCTTCTCCCTTTTCCTACCTAAGATCTTTTGCAACTTTTCCCTGTTAACATCCTTTCCCACTTTCCTTCCCTTCGGTTCATGTCCCTTTATGTCTGTTTTTGTGCCTTTTCTTTCATTTCACTTCATGCTTGTATTGAAATCTGAGACTTTTCATCCTTGCATGGCCTTCTGCACAGCAAGGCTCAGAAAGTGGCGGCCCCCTACAATAACAGCATCACCCAGAATAGTGGACAAACCCTGTAGCCACTGGCTCCCACATTCCCAAACCCAAACTTCAGCATCAAAACTTGCAATCCCAAGTACTCAGCTTGTACTGAAACGAGACTTTTCATCCTTGCATGGCCTTCTGCACAGCAAGGCTCAGAAAGTGGCGGCCCCCTACAATAATAGCATCACCAGAATAGTGGACAAACCCTGTTCCCAAACCCAAACTTCAGCATCAAAACTGGCAATCCCAAGTACCCAGCTTGTCTTGAAATCTGAGACGTTTCATCCTTGCATGGCCTTCTGCACAGCAAGGCTCAGAAAGTGGCGGCCCCCTACAATAATAATAGTGGACAAAACCCTGTAACCACTGGCTCCCACATTCCCAAACCCAAACTTCAGCATCAAAACTTGCAATCCCAAGTACTCAGCTTGTATTGAAATCTGAGTCTTTTCATCCTTGCATGGCCTTCTGCACAGCAAGGCTCAGAAAGTGGCGGCCCCCTTCAATAATAGCATCACCAGAATAGTGGACAAACCCTGTAGCCACTGACTCCCACATTCCCAAACCCAAACTTCAGCATCAAATCTTGCAATCCCAAGTACTCAGCTTGTATTGAAATCTGAGACTTTTCATCCTTGCAGGGCCTTCTGCACAGCAAGGCTCAGAAAGTGGCGGCCCCCTACAATAATAGCATCACCCAGAATAGTGGACAAACCCTGTAGCCACTGGCTCCCACATTCCCAAACCCAAACTTCAGCATCAAAACTTGCAATCCCAAGTACTCAGCTTGTATTGAAATCTGAGACTTTTCATCCTTGCATGGCCTTCTGCACAGCAAGGCTCAGAAAGTGGCGGCCCCCTACAATAATAGCATCACCCAGAATAGTGGACAAACCCTGTAGCCACTGGCTCCCACATTCCCAAACCCAAACTTCAGCATCAAAACTTGCAATCCCAAGTACTCAGCTTGTATTGAAATCTGAGACTTTTCATCCTTGCATGGCCTTCTGCACAGCAAGGCTCAGAAAGTGGCGGCCCCCTACAATAACAGCATCACCAGAATAGTGGACAAACCCTGTTCCCAAACCCAAACTTCAGCATCAAAACTGGCAATCCCAAGTACCCAGCTTGTATTGAAATCTGAGACTTTTCATCCTTGCATGGCCTTCTGCACAGCAAGGCTCAGAAAGTGGCGGCCCCCTACAATAATATTAGTGGACAAAACCCTGTAGCCACTGGCTCCCACATTCCCAAACCCAAACTTCAGCATCAAAACTTGCAATCCCAAGTACTCAGCTTGTATTGAAATCTGAGACTTTTCATCCTTGCATGGCCTTCTGCACAGCAAGGCTCAGAAAGTGGCGGCCCCCTACAATAATAGCATCACCAGAATAGTGGACAAACCCTGTTCCCAAACCCAAACTTCAGCATCAAAACTGCAATCCCAAGTACCCAGCTTGTATTGAAATCTGAGACTTTTCATCCTTGCATGGCCTTCTGCACAGCAAGGCTCAGAAAGTGGCGGCCCCCTACAATAATAATAGTGGACAAAACCCTGTAGCCACTGGCTCCCACATTCCCAAACCCAAACTTCAGCATCAAAACTTGCAATCCCAAGTACTCAGCTTGTATTGAAATCTGAGTCTTTTCATCCTTTGCATGGCCTTCTGCACAGCAAGGCTCAGAAAGTGGCGGCCCCCTACAATAATAGCATCACCCAGAATAGTGGACAAACCCTGTAGCCACTGGCTCCCACATTCCCAAACCCAAACTTCAGCATCAAAACTTGCAATCCCAAGTACTCAGCTTGTATTGAAATCTGAGACTTTTCATCCTCGCATGGTCTTCTGCACAGCAACCCACATTAAAGGGGTTCCTAAGTTGGAAACAAAGCAAAAGCATTGGGCCCGTATACTGAATCAATTGACACTCCTTTCTGACAGATCCAGACCCGGAGCCCAAAGCCACGCCCCCCCCACGATAGAATTCTAGACGTGGCACACTGAGGGGGTCAGGGGGGGGGGACCCCTGATCAATCAAAAGCGGCGATTACGGCCACCTCGAGGCCGTGGACCAAGTGGTCGGATGGGATGCTGGACTCCTGTATGTGCTGCGCCTGCATGGCCAGATACAAGCAGCGCCTAGCTGAAAGCCGAGGAACAGTTGAAGCAGATCCAGCTTACACGGTTTGCATTTGGAGCAGCTTCCAGTGGATCCAGCCTTCTTGCATGGCAGCAAAGGTCGCGAGGACCACATCACCAACGCATTGCTTGAAGCCCGACAAGAAAAGGGTCTTGGCGGCCTTCGTAGCGCCGCCTGCCGCCCTTGCCACATCATCTCTACCCGCACCCTGACCAGAAGCAGCTCTCAGCGGAGACCCCTCATGGATGTTCAACTCCGCAACATCACATGTGAAGGCTAACAACAGCCGCATACCCGCACACGCACATGCCATGTTGTTTTTGAGGGCGGGGGCTACCATATTTTTACATTCTGTATACAAATATACACACGTACATGTGTACCACAACTTGAGAGGGACCGCTATGGCTGGGGCCCGTCCGAATAAGCAAATCGTCTCCGTTGAAATTTGCCGAAATGACTTACGGGTGACAGCTATCAAGCAAAGACCGGAGTACATAATCACCCCTCATGTTTCAGGGGTGTGTGGGGTAGGAGTATTTGTTTTGTTTGAGGCAAGTAGAGGCAAGGCCTCAAGAACCCTGGGCGTCATGTCCCTTAGCCCAGGGCCTTGGGTTATAATCTTGGAAGGCTATCACTGGTGGAATATCAGAATCATGGAAGGTTATTAGTTTTGGAGCCAAGGTTCCCTTTGTAATCATTGTTTGTGGGACCACGTTTCGCTCATTTTTGTTTCCAGGAGATGGGCGGCACTGTCAGCTGGTCCGCACCTTTTGACGAGCTGGTCACCGGCTACGATGCCTCTTGGAATTCACCGGGGCAGGGGTGAATTTGCAGATGGGGTGAACTTTTCAGCGGGGGAGCAGGATGGATTTGGGAATGCATGCATTGATAGGGTGCATGCATTTGTAAGGTGCGAGATGAAGCCCATCGGTTTTGGTCAACAAAACCCCAACAGGAAGCACGCTGGCATGGCAGACGTCATTGGTATTCAAGCAAACTGCACTCCAAATCACTCTACGAATGCGGTTGTTCTACCGGAGAACCCTCCAAATGGGTTTTGGCTTCCATTTCCGTTTCACGATGCTATTGTTTGTCAAGAGCACGCGGACTGATCCAATTGGCCGCACACTGAGACGATTTTCCCATCAAGCTTTTGGATATGCCAAGTAGCTCTTGGTGAGTTCGATTCAATCTTTCTGTTGCGTGGATGTTTGCATACAAACAGAGTTCCGGGCTGTGCCGTACCTATTCAAATGGGAAACCCAAGGGTTATATTGGCAGCTCCCATGAGGCTCTGCACGTTGTGTGGTGGAGCCTCGCACGGTGTTGTTTTCAGGACACGCGCGCAACTTTGTGGCAGCTTTCCCTCTTTACCCTTTTCGCTAGCATGCAAGGCTCAAGAGGCCCAAAAGCCCAGCGGAAGTTGAAATTGTCTTTAGGAAGTTGTTCCTACCATCAACAAAATTGACGCAATGC